TCCATTTTATGACTGTATATAATTTCAGTTTAATAAATCAGCATATTCAGATACTTTGTGATCCTTCTAAAAGAGAAAACTTTTTAGTAGCTTACAGGGAATACATAAGGTATAAAAGAATATAAATAAGAATTAGATAAGCAGTAAAAACAGCTAAGAATATGGAACCAAGTATTAAAAATATGAAAATATATATTATAGAAAAATATTCTCCTCAACTTCAGATTATGATCTACTAGTGAGCTATGGAATCAATTTAATGGGTCTTATCTAGGACTTAAAAATTAATGAAAATAAAATATAGTGAATATGTTAACTTATGTAAATTATTTGCATTTTTAATAGTGATTTGTGCTCAAAAGTTATACAAGATTCATAAAATGCATTTTTTTCTATAGTGTCTTAATATTGACTACATGACTTCTGAGAAAAAATGCAAAAGACGTAAATTTCATCATGTATAGTGGTTAAAGAAAATAAGAGTGAAATATCAAAGATACAAATTGTGCTGCTATAAACATGGATGCACATATATTGCTGTGGAAATGCCTATCACTAAGGAATGGATAAAAAGATTTGATATTTTTATACAATGGAGCACTATTTAGCAATAAAGAAAGAACTATAAGTAAATGGATGCAACTTGAGACCATACTCATAATTGAAATAAATCAGACTTGCATGTATAAACACTGTATTGTCTTCTTAGTGTAAAAAACTGAAACAGTAAGATGCAAAATGTATAATAGATATTGTGAAAGTGAAAGTGAAAGAAACTGCTTAAAAGGAAAGAACAACTGGGATGAGGGAAAGGAGAAGGGAAAGAAGGGAAAAATATGTATTAGTGTTGTTTTAATTTGCATTTCTCGAATGACCAGTAATGTTGAGGATTTTTTTCATATATTTATATGTAATTTGTATTTCTTCATCTGAGAAGTGAGTATTTATCTCAGATGCCCATTTTTGGACTGGATTTTTAAATCTGGGGGGTATGATTATTTTCAGGCTTTATACATTCTATATAGAAGTCCTTTGAGGGACAATTGATTGAAAATATTTCCACCATCTGGTTGTCCTTTCACTTTGTTGATTTATTTTGCTGTGCAAAAGCTTTTTAATAAGATGAGATCTCAGCTGATTCTTTGAAATATTTCCTGTGCATTCTGTGTTTTGTTCATGAACTCTACATACTCTATGTCTTCAAAGGTACTTTTAACTTTTTTATTAAAAAAACTAAAAATGATGATAGAAAACTTCATATAAATGTTATACATGATAAAAGCAATGATAGAGAACATACATATATATGATATATACATATATACATGAATACACATATATATAATAGGTAATCATACTATTAATTTCTATTAGTTCATCAAAAATGGTTGTGCTTTCATTGTTTAATTTTTCATGCTTATATTCTGTAATCTGAACAAATATTTTGAAGATACCAATACACAATATATTAACCACTGCTCCTCTCTTAACATTTTGTTTTGAAATTCACTAAAACTATAGGTAGAAAACTTGAAGATATATTTGTTCATGAACAAAACCCAAAACTACACAGGAAGTACTTCAAAGAATCAACAACTGGAAAGTCATCTTTCAAAAAAAAGATACAAACAAACAAACATACAAATAAAAAACCTTTTGCATAACAAAAATGATCAACAGAGTGAAAAGACAACTCACAAAGTGAGAAAATATTTCAGCTATTTGTCCCTCAGACAAAGGATTTCTATCTGGAACATATAAAAAATTGAAAAAAATCAGGCCCTCCAAATTCAGAGACCCAAACCTAAAACAGGCACATACTTCTCAGATGAAGAAATACAAATGGCTAATAAATACATGAAAAACATTCAACATCACTGATCATCTGAGAGACGCAAATTAAAACAACGCTGAGTTTCCAACTCACCCTAAAAAGATTGGCTATCATCAAGAAACCAACCAGTGACAGATGCTGGAAAGGATGCAAGGAAACAGGAACTCTCCACCACCACTGGTGGAAGTGTAGGCTGGTGCAACCACTGTAGAAGTCAGTGTGCAGACTCCTCAAAAAGCTAGAATTACAGGCCCCACTCTAGCCAGTTATTTCTCTTCTGGATATCTTCCCAAAAGAATTTAAAGTATCATAGCACAGAGATATGTGTGCACCTGTGTTTACAGCAGCACAGTTTATAATACCTAAATCTCAGAAACAACTCAAATGCCCATTAACCAAGAAATGGATAAAAAAGAAGTGGTATTTTTTGGAGTACTACTCATCCATAAAGAAGACTGAAATTAAGACACAGGTAAATGGATACAATTTGAAAACATACTCGTAAGTGAAATAAATATGATTCACAGGCATAAATATCATATTGCCCCTCTGGTATGAAAACTAAAACAGCAAATAAATTCTAAAATGTACAACAGATAATGTGAAATGGGAAGAAATTATTCAAAAGGAAAAAAGAACTAGGATGGGTGAAAAGGGAAAAAAACAGTAGAGAAAAGGAAAAAAAATACAAGTCAGTAGTACCATTCGTATTTCTTAGTTCTTTCAAAAGGAGTTTCTTCTAAATTTGATTACAGAAATTTACACGCCCGTATCTTACACCAAGCAACTACTTTAAAGATAACAACATGTGATGTACTAACTAGTGTTATTCTCCTATTATTTTGTTATGAACTTTTGTTTCATCTTTGTACCATAAAATACAAAAAAATTAAAGATACCATACAAAATATAAAATAAATTAGTAGAAATCCAGATTTTTGCAACCAGGCTTGGTGGCGTATGTCTGTAATTCCAGCACTTAGGAAGCTGAGGAAGGAGAACTGCCCAGAGTGGGAGGCTAACGTGGACTACACAGTGTGTTCATTGTGTGAGAATCTGTTTTAAAAGATCAAAAATAAATAAGCAAATAAATAGATATAATCACATTTTTAAAAAAAAGAATTACAAGTATTTCTAAAGATTTGGTTAGGAAGATGATTCTGAGAAAATTTACAAAAGGAATTTTGCATAAAGTAATCTCCCATATACTAAAGATATTATTTAATTTATATTGCTTTAAATGCCATAGTTTCTCCAAAAATAAGACAAGAGTAAAGCATCTATATCCAGCAGAGTTCAGTCATCTTTTTTCAATAGGGTGCTACAGAAATGAGATACAAATGGCCTGGCCCAAAAGTCTGAGAAAATGGAGATAAGGAAAAATAACAGATATAAATATATTTATAAATGAATGTGATGTATGTACCACGTGAATGATTTTTAAATATATATTTGATTTCTATGGTTTCAAAAACAAAGAAAGGATACACTCAATGGTGGATAATTATGACATATACAAACTTCACAAATATTACTTTCAATTTAAAATTTGTTAACTAATCAAATCCACTATCAAGTCTTTCAGTTTTAGTTTATTGGTATTTCATGCAATGATGAAATTCACTTTTTCTTTAGTAATACAGAAATGTGAAGCAAATCTATGCTCCTTATAAACTGTAATTCAGGGAAAAAAATATTAAGAACTCATTAGTCCCTGGAACAACATCTGTAGTCAACAGATACTCGACCTGTGGGTTAGTTCAAGCAGTTTAATACTTGATTCATTCAAAAAGGCAATGCTTATAACACTCTATAGAAATATTAAAGAGCTGGAATACAAGTTCTTCTGGTTCTCTTCCTTTCAACACAATAGTTTACAGTAGTGCAGAAGGATCAGGGAGACTCGCAAAACTGTAACAAGAGAGGGAAGGAGGAAAGGAGGAGGAATTGGGTGTAAGTTTCACTAAAATTGGCAACAAATTGCCTATCATGGACTTTATTGAGAGTAAACATCCCAGCTTTCCATGTTAGAGAATAAAATTTTGCCAAGAAGAAAAGGTAAAAATAGACTTTAATAAAAGAAAAGTACAAAATATACTCTCTCAAAGTACAAAACATTATTGTGGTTGAGACCCAAGAAATTCAGTGCATTAAGCAGACAGAATTAAAAGATGGTATTAAGGAAAATAAAATAGACAACGGTGACTGGCATCAAATTGTAAAGATGATTTTTTTTTTTTTTTTTTGCCATGAGAAAAGGTCTGATTTCTGAAGGCAAAGTGGGGACATAAGACAGGCAGAGGCAAATGAGGGCATAGTTTTATTTTAAACTAAAATAAAATCTAGAACTAATGGAAAAGACTGACTGAAAGGGTAAAAATTGAAATCAAGGATATGAGTTAAGACATTAGAAGTCAAGAAGAAAATGGAAAAACTCTGTATGAAGTGGATACTGGCAAAAATAAAGAAAACTGAATAAATTAAAAAAATGTTTTGAAGTAGGACTTACATGACTTCAACACATTGTAGATGAAAGTGGAAAAGAGTTTTCAGACAACTTTCACCTATTCCGGTAGGGCAAATAAGACCAAGATTGAGATAGGACAATTAAATATGGGGGTTTCATAGTGACCTATTAGAGCTTCAATGACAATAGAAGTGAATTTGCAGATAAAAAATGAAGACTGTATTCAGTATGTCTCAGAGCAGTTGAAGAAAAAACTAAGGCAAAATTGTGATGTTTACTCATTTGACAATTATCTCATAATGTTTTACATATTACATAAAGTAATGTGGATAATGTATAACATTGAATCTTATTTTATGATTATTAAATGAAAGAGGAAAATGAAATAAAATAATACAAACTATATTCACTTCATGAATATGGCCATGAGTTTCTATTAGTCATAATTGATATATTTCACTTGAAATGTAAGAAGCAATATAGCTCTTTTTATCAGAGCACAAGAAAATATTTCCAACTCTAAACCCTTCTGTTTCTGTACTCATTAGTGCATCCAATTAGTAGGAACCAGGCATTGACTAATTTGATTGACACTGTTTATTTTATCTCCCACACTGTGGGATCACCGCATGAGAATAATGAAAAAAGCTGTAATTTGCAAGCATGGAGAGCAGAGCTATTTATTGTCACTATACTTACAACTGGTCCTGGTGGGCCCTGGGGACCTTCTCCTCCTTTCAGACCAGGTGCACCCTGGGGAAAGTGAAAAAACAAAGAATATGAATAAATGTAAATTGAACATAAATAGAAAGTATATGATTAATAAAAATTAGATGCCAGGAGGCAATATTTCCTGATAGAAATATAAATACTTATACATATATATAACATATATAATGACAATCAAATGCATTTGCATGTATATTCTAATTACTCATGACTCTAGTTAAGATCTGAGAAAATGCATCGCGTAAGATGCATTGTCTATACCTGAGCTCCAGGAAGTCCTCTTTCACCTGGGAAACCACGCAATCCTGCTGGTCCATCTTTCCCTGGGATACCCTGAGGTCCTAGATCACCCTAAAAGCAATACATATCAGTCAAAAAAGAGCAATTTATATACATTTCTATGAACAAAATAAGGCTACCTGCAATCTACTGTTATATTTTAATATCATTTGGGATTAGGAATATTGTATGAAATGTCACATACATTAAAATGAAGTAATAGTATTTAAAGACATATATACAAATATAAATGCATGGTTTCTTGGTCAACGAATTAACTGGTATTATTATTATTCAGTAATGTTTTATAGTACAACAATGTCACACTAAATATTTCCCTGGTTCTAATTTAAATTCTGATAAAACATACAATATCTGTATACAGATGACAAGAAATACAATGAAAAGCAAATGAATGTTCTGAGCTAAAAATATCCTTGAGCTTTCATACCTTTGCACCTTCCTTTCCTGCGGCGCCAGGAAGACCTTGCTCACCAGGAGGGCCAGGAGGGCCAGGATGCCCTCGTTCACCTATTGGACCAGTCTCACCAGTGGGTCCCTAAATTATAGAAACCAAACCACATTAGACTGCTTCTTTATTTTAGGCAGGTAAACTGCAAACTCAAATATTGCTCATTTTCAGAAAAAACGATAACCATCATTCATTTTCATGACATTCTTCCCATAAAGCACTGAAGTAACATTCTGATAAAGGGCTGAAATGATTATATATAACCTTAATAGCCATGGGTACAAGAGGAATGTATAAATTCTACAAAGATATTTGTTTTGTTTAACACTAGATTTGCTTCAGAATAAGGCAAGTTCAATGCCTTAATAATTTAAAACTTTGCTTTATAAGTACAGTTAATTACATTCCTTTTTTTGTAATGTGTCAAATCAGTTTAAAAATGAAGAGCTACTAGTGCCAGGGTGGCAGGTACTCAATGAATCATTGTATGATAATAAGCCTAGGACTTTGGGTACCCACACAACAGAAGTGGTTCTCCTGGGAGTTTCCTCGCACTGGAAACTTTCCTACTGATAGTTTATATTCATTTGAGAAGTCTAAAGAATGTGGCAGGCAGATCCTGATGGTAGTGAGTTTGCTCCAGCAGTTCTTTGAGACCTAAGGCTATAACAAATAGTCAGCCGCCTTAAATTGCAGCAAATGCCAAAGTGAAAAATGCCAGGTCATTTATATGTCCCCTGAGTGGGGCCGTTTTGTGGGACTACAGTATAATATGCCTTCAAGAATAAATAGGGAATGGTGACCAGTTATTCTCTATTTCCATTCAGAATAAAAAGCAAAATGGGTGATTTAAATTAAAATTATATAAAGTAAAAAATTCCAGATGCTACAGTTGTTAAACAGTAGGATGTTTTACCAAACTTGCTTGCATAATACCATTCCCAGTTATTTTCTAAAAATGTAACATAGTTTTACATATTTTAACATTTTGGCCTTGGGTATATATATATATATATTGTATATAATTATAATTGATAAGCACTCAAAAAGGATTATCAGCCAAAATGTATACATGCTTACACTCAAATTTCCCTTATAAAAACAAAAATTTTCTTCAGTTCAAGAATTATTCTTTGAAATAAAATGACCACTCAATCCAAACCTTTTCACCTCTGGTACATAGATTTCTAGAAAGAAGATGTGGACTCTACTTCTCTCTGTATGTGTCTGTGCATGTATTTTTGTATGTGTACGTTTGCGTGTAAAAGTTGCAAAACACTGAGAATTAATTAGAGGTGCAGAATAGACTATGGAAAATAATTAAATTATTAAAACACTTGCCTAACTGCTCTGACTCTTTTTCTATGTGTTTTAATACTTCGCATAAAATTCCAATTGACTAAATTAAAAGAGTTCTGTCTATTCAACATGATTTGACAAAGAATAAACAGATTATTTTCTATTCACATGAATTATCTGTAGCTAAGCAATCCCTAATTCGAGATATTGAACCAATGTTGGAGAATTTCTGCCACCTCTCCTGAGACACATACTTGTCTTTGCCAACATTTCTCATATGCTCAAGGAAAAAAAGTATTTTATTTTTGATATAACTAATTGTTATAAAGACAAAAGATGTAAAGGAATGTAAAATATAATATAAATATTAAATTTTTAAAATATTATATTAAGATATTTACATTTTACTATATCAAAGTATATAACTATACTTGTAGACCTAAATTACATTAAAAACACTGAAATAACTTTGTGATTTTAAATTTTGAATACCCAATCTATTTAATAAAGAATTTTAGTTTGTTTTTTTAATTAGACATTTAAAAGGTAGGTAGTATTGTAGACAGATTTTCCTGTTAAATTCATTTCAAAGTTTTTATATGTTTTCATGTTTACTCTTCCTGCTTATTAAAACACGCAACAGAAAAGCAGTTTTAATTAAGCAATTGTTTGCTGAATTGCATTAGATGTTGGCAATACATATTTTGAGTCATGAGAAAATGGACAGATTTCACAGATGTTCGTAAGGTGAAAATATAAACATAAATATAAATCTTGCTACAAAAATAAAAATACCTGTGGTCCAACAACACCACCTGGTCCAGGGGGCCCAGTCTTGCCTTGAAATCCCTAAAGAAATAAAATAGAATCTGTTATTATACTCCGATTTTTTAATTGAAATTTTGTTGCCTTCTCTATTTCACCTTGTAATATCATAGTTAGTACCATAAACTTAAAAAATAAGGCAACACAATCACACAGAGGTAAAAATATCCTCTTAACACTGTTTCACCAAACCAAAAAATATATGGAATTTTAATGATCAATGTTTATGGATGAAATAAGTGATAATCTTCTTTTATTCTTTAAAAATAGTCCACTGATTCTTTACACAGTAAAAATCTATAATATGTGATATTTATTCATTTTTTTCAAGTGCAATCCAAAAATCTCATAATTTAAAACAATATATCAAACTATTTATAAACAAAACATGGTATATGATTAGCAATCATTTCAGTTTTCTTTATCAACATACTTTGTTAAAAGCCAACAGACTTAGAAATGCACCTTTCAATCACTGAAATATATTCTGGTTGATGTGAAAAGAATATATTCGCTACATAAAAATTTTGGTAATATATTCGATATCTACATTTATCTAGACTTCTTGTGGATTATTTGTTCTATATAATTGTTAGAATAGACAAATTATTTTCATATGAGTTAAGTTAAATTTCATATTTGTACAAGTAGACAAAAAAACACTCCCAAAGAATTGAAATAAAGCAAACAATGTTTGCAAAAATTTTACTCATTATAACATATAATCAGACTATAAATAATAAAATTAGCAAGAAAAATAGAAACTAGTAGCCCCATAATATTCCAAATGTCTATGACTAAATTAGTTAAAGTAACATTTATAAGCAGATAAAAAGGAAAAGAATGTGTACTTATAATATTGCAATTAATGCTACAGAAAAAAACTGATTTCATATATTTTTAAAATTGACTAATTCTTAAAACTATTCAGATTTTATATAAGTTATAATAGCAAATCAATTAAATCTGAGGGAAATTATCCTAAAGCTAATCTAGCATTTTAAAATCAAAATCATAATTTCCTTATTTCAGTTTTTAGAAACTCACAGGTTACTGATCAGATTTACAAATTTATATACAAACATGAACACAAAGTAAACACATATATATGTGTGTCTATATGAGTTTAACAGCACATGTACACATGTATACTGCTTCCTGGATTATGACAACAACCTCCACGACCCATTCTTAAATCTAGGTTCATAAAATATTCCACATATTCCAAATTATTTCTAAATCTCTAACTGTACTAAACTCTAAAATTCAGTAAGTGCCTATTTGACATTTCCAGTCTATAAAGTGCTCTCTCTTCAATATTTTCAACATGTAGCTTGCTGAATGTGTCTGTCTTTCACAGTCCTCTTGTGTTCTTTCCCTTTTTTAATATCTTAGGATTTGTTTGGATCTTTACTCTGTCATTAATTATAGGGTCAGTTGAGGAAATCTTTCAAAATACTGCTTTTTCTCTCTTGCCTAGTAGACTTGTGTGATTCGAACTGTAATTGCTTTGATGATCAGGATTTTCAAATCAGTTTCACTCAATTGTTCAGTTTAGCCAGGATTATCATCTTATACAAGAAAATCTAATCAATTTATTGCTAACCACATACAGTGCCAAACATTATCAGTAAGAAAGTTCAAAACAATCACAGCTCAGTCTGCAACCTCCATCACAAACTTTGCTTTGAAAATGTATTTCAGATTTTTAGTTATGTTCACCTTTTCATCTATCTTTGATACCCATATTTTATATTGCACAATTTATTCTCTCCAATGAGGCTGCACTTCAAGTTTGACTTGAAGTGGTAAATGCAGCTCTGAATTAAAAACAACACAAATAAATAAAATCCTATAAAGCTCCTTTTCTTAGTTACTGTGAGAGCAAGAATATCTCACAGAAATGATTTTAGTAATAATTGACTGAAATGAATTGATTAAAAATCAGTATTTAATTGAACAAAGTTCAACAGAAATTTACAACACACACTTGCATCCTAAATGGAAAAAGAAAAAGATTGTTTACTAGCATACTTGTACAGTTGATAGACTTGAAAGAGCACCACTTTCTGTATGCTCGTTCAAGAAACTCAGTGTTTACAATTATCTAACCCATCTGATGCTAGGGCATGACAAATAAACTATGGACAGTAAAACTTTACAGTTCAAAATGCAGTTTACTTGTTTCAAACTCCCTATTGTAATGCTATATTTACCACTTAATTTTAAAGTAAGTTAATATAACGTTCAAAGTCCCTGAAAAACAAATAATGTTGTAAATCCATAGGTAGTTTGGAAAATATGCTGCTAATCTCAACAAAAATAGAATTCCTATTCTAATCTTTAAAGGATTAAATTAATTTTAGTATCAATTCTGGATTTGACATGATGTCTCAGAGAAAGACGGGTTATTTCATTGTAATAGGAACTATTTCTAATACTTCCTGTACAACTTGAAAAGCTTCAACATGACAAAAAAAATCAAGACAAATCTGAATAATATCTGAAGGGAGACAAACCTCAAATATAATAAAAGAATTTCTTCTTTGAAATTGGATAACACATTTATAACAAAGCTTAGCCAGCTTTAGATTTTAACTCTTGCATGAGGAAATCTTTTGAATGCCAGTCAGCATGGATAAAGGCAAGAAAGAACAGTTCCTGGCTATGAGGTGATTCACTTAAAAATGGATGTGACACCAGGAATATAACTTTTGAGAAATAATTCTGAACTATCCCATGAGAAACCAATAGATAGAAACACTCTTCTTAGAAACATTAGCTAATATGCTATTTTTCTTCTTTGTTTAAATTTAAATGTTATATATGATATGGCTATTTTGGACAGAAAGAGAAGCCTGATCAAATCAAAGAACAAAAAGGATTTTTACTGTGATAATTTGTTAGGTATTTCTTCTTCAAAATACTTTATGAAAATATTCTACATTTATGACTTCATTTTAAATAGTGGCTACAAAATTTAAAGATAAATACATTTGAAAATTTGAGTGTGGTTCCTCTTTTAGAGAATTCAATATTTTTCTCCTTACGTAGCTATCATTTCCAAGGAGAAACCCCAACAATTTTATAATTTGATCCCATTTGTTCATTTTTGATTCTGCTTCTGAAGATCAAGACTTCAAAATCTGGAGCCTTGTTAATATGATGTTGTAACCTAAGAATTGTCACTTGATGATTGAGATAGTAATCGGGTGTTGCTGACAGTCTGTTTCTCCCACGGCAGAAAATTAGTAAAAACTGTAGATTCATTATCAATTCCAAATTATGTTGTCAAGCTGGAAGAATGTCCTAATGTGATTGGGGACCATGGAGTCAAAGGTAGATTTTATTGTAGCTTCCTTAACTTTTATCTACTTTTGAAGACCTACAATGTCTCCAATGTTTTGGTTTTGTCGGTTTTATTCTTTACTGTTTTGTTCAATTGTATTATAACTAACGATATAGGCAATTCTATTAGAGATAGCGGGAGGCATTATGGTAACCATTGTTGATCACCTTGTATTATGTTTTTACATTATCTATTATGTCCACCCTTTTGACTTGACCGATTCTGTTCTGTTATGTCACATTTGGTTTTACTCTCTTCCAAAAAAGTAATAAGAACCGTGGGAGCAATGAAACCCAAAATGTGTAATAGTCATGGTACAAAAGAGAGGAAAAGAAAGTGCTCCAAACTATATAACTGCATGTATATTTAAATGTATAAGATAGAAAATGATATCACAGAGTTTTATTGGAGCAATGAACAGAACTGTTTGCAGTATCATTGATGGAATGTCCACTTTACAAGCTTTAATTTTGTGACTTGAACAATTATTTCTAAGATGACAATATGTAATCCATTAACTAGTGATTTCCTACTGTTCATTTTTTTCTGTAAATCTGTATAACTTGTACTCTTTCCCTGCTTATTTTTTTTTCTTTTCTCCTTAAATAAAATTAAAAAAAAAAAAAAGAAATCTGGATAAAGTTACCAACATGAGGGCCAAGAACTGATTCCAAGGAAACACTCAGACATAGGAGCACTTCTAATTAGAACAACCCCCTGGGACAGCACTTTTTAAAAGTATAGCTAAATAAACAAACAAACCTACAAGAATCCTTAAACTATACAGAACTACCAGCTTTTCTTCTGCCTAAATTATCATATACATTATGAGTTATTGAGACAAATTTTAAAATGTTACATTCCTTAAAGTTTTTAAATAAAGTTAAACTGTATTTTTTAATCTACATTTTTCAATTGACATAAGGAGGATGCATTTGACATACTTCCAGAATAAATGTACCTTTCTGGTTCTAAAATCAGCAGATATCTCATCATTTAGTCCAACGTTAGAAGAATGTTGTATTATGTGAATTATCTATAGTAAAGCATTTCCTTTTGGTAGGAGGCAGAGATAGTTCAGATGGGACGTATTCCTAAGACTTCAGTGAAAGGATCAAGGTGACAATCTAGGGCTGGTATTTGAAAATTAATGGGGCTTTCTCCATCAGCTCATTCTTAGAGTGTTGATGTTGATAATGAGAACAATCATTTCAATTAACACCCTATATTTTTCTTAGCTGCAAATTTGGATCTACTTATGTATATAGAATTCTCTCCTTATTGTCCCCAAACTGATAACAGCGAATAACAAAGCAGCCTCCTGTAAACCGATGAGGTACTAAAGAGAAATTTTCAATCAAAAAATGAATTACTTACAGTCTCTCCACGTTGCCCAGGGTGTCCTGGTAGTCCATCTTTCCCAGGTGGACCCTGAAATCACAAATATTAAACAGCCTAAAACATAATTACTACCTGAATATTTTTACAGTATGAATATTTCAGATGAGTTTTTATATTTCATTGGACACTGGATTTTGATTTCCACATTTTTATATATGGTTAAGTGAACATATAATCATTTAACATAACTCTATAAATATGACGAGTAACAATATTTAAAGTTCTATTCTAAACATTATATACCAAATGAATTTATTTTAATTGAACTTATCTTTCAAAAGCATAGTTGTATCTGTTTACACTTTTTTTTGCAAAAATGTTGGTTTTCAGTAATTGACTAATACTTTCCCCTTTTTATAATCACCTGTTCCTAATTTGTGTGTGCAATGAAACGCAAATAATAGGAAAACACTGTCCTCTAGTGGTGAGCCGAACATGTTACAAGAATGAAGAGGAAAGAACACTACTTTTGCTTTGAAGTGCAAGAAACAATTTATTATGCACAGTTCTAGCAATCATCACAGCAGACTTTGCTTAAGCATTTTCTTAAGTAAACCCTTTTCAAAGCAAAGCAGTAATTAAGAACTAGAGAGCAAATCTGCCAAAGGGTGCCATCTTTTGTCATGTGTGGATACATGAAGTTATTAACTAAGTACTTAAGGCAAGGAACTCTAAACAGTTCCTACATGTTAAATATTTATAGAGATAGACTGCTGCATTAGACTTTCTTATAGATTGCATATAACCTTGGAAAACATTAAAATTTTAAAATATAACTAATAGGTATAAATCCAAATATTTCTCACCTTTCTGGATAAATTGAAGGTGATCGTTTTAATATAACCTTCTTAAGACAACTGCATACCACTCTTTATATGTTAATTATCTGAGTGAATTTATTTTGAAACACCTAAATTTATTTGAAAACACACACACACACACACACACACACACACACATATATATATATATACTCATTATTATGGAATGAGTTTGAACTAAAGGTTTTATTACAGAATAAGCTCATTTTCATAGCTTGCTTTCTTTCATCAGAACAAGGCTTTCTCTAGGTTGGCATACTTCCGGGGAAGTCTTGGCATGCCCAACCTGAACCAGCTCTGCTCCCTGACCTCATCAGCACTGACAGACTTGTTTGTTATCACCCTTAATTAAAAACTGCCACTCTGTTTCACAAGATGACAGCTTGACCAGTGATTGTTCACATTTTCCAGAACCACATCTGTAATTCTGAACCAATTTTCCTCATAAACACCAATACTTATTTTTAAAAAGGTCCAAAACGTTCTTGGATGTAAATTAAATATTTTTCTGCCAAAAAGAAATACTACAAATTGACACATTAGTCACTAGGTATATGAAAATGGAAGAAGTCTGTGCTCAATTTGGAGGTAAAACTGAAATACTTTAACTGCTAATAGACTTCATCCAAGTCCAGTTTTTCGAAATAGCAATTTGTCTCCAATGATGTGTCTTGCAATCTATATAACACATATATATGGTACTAACAAATCTGAAATATAAAAATTAAATACCTGATTGTGTTTGCTGATATAGCATGTATCAGCATTTAACTACAAAATTATAATCCTTTTAAATAGTGATCTTAAATCTAATGAGGTCCTCTTGGTGTGAATGCAGTGTGATTTTTCATGGTGTTTCCACATAGTCTGAGGCAATGGGGTTAATGGGCTCATGAAAGAACAACAGCATCATTTTTCTTAGCCTAAGTGTACATTTCTAAAATTAGGCAATTAATTTAAAAAAAAACTGTAATGGCTCCACACCACTAATTAATAAAATACAGCATATTAATTGAAAATAGTTATGGAATTTATCCAAAAATAAGAATTTTATTTATCCAAATATGCTGCTCCTTTGATTCAGTTGGTGTAAAAAGAAAACAAATTCATCAAAAGGAAAGTGCTCTGATATAGCAAGAAATGCTATGAAGACACTTTATAATGATTGTTTAGGGATGTTTTCCCACCCTGGCTGATACGGAGTTCTGACTTTTTTCCTTTGATAAATAAAATGTTCTTCATAAAAGTCACGCTATACATTTTAATCACTTCAAACAGAATTTTTCTTAAGTGAGATGACTACATACTTTTCAAATATAGAAGCATTAACATGAGATGAACAGAATCTAAGAATCTAAGCAATCTACATGTGTCTGTCAGTATATACAACTTTTGTTAGGTTCAATGATAAATGAATCAGTCTGTAGGACAACATCAGTTCTACCTCACCACCTGAATTTCTTCCATTTCAAAATGAGGAAGGCATCTATTTTCCAAATTTTATAAAATCACATACAAGTGCAGTGTTTTATTTAACAGTGAAAGTTACGCTGCATATCAGGGTCTTGTCAATGCATATTTTTAAGGATAGGCATTTATTGTATTATTGATACTTCTTGGAAATAAAATGAGTGTAAGATCAATAGCTCATATTGAATAAACTCATATTGATAAGTAAGATCAATAGCTCATATTGAAAGATACATGAGCGAATAACTGAAAAAGTCTAAGGAAAATTAGTCAATGACTTTCTTTGACAACCAAAATATATTACAGGGGGAAATAATTGAGAACAATGTATATGAACATAAATGAAAGAATAATATTGAGGTTGCATATCTTAATGGACTTCTAGAGGTTAACCATAATCTATGCGTGTTGTATGAAAACACAGAACTGCCCATCAGAAAAACATACGCACAATCGTAAGAACTTTGTTTTGGTTCTTTATGAATTTTAGCACAGACTGAACAGTATATTTGGACCAAAAACGTATGCTGTTAGTATCAGTGTTACATTTAATAACAGGTTATTTGGATGATCCTCCTCTGTAATATAGATAGCAATCATTTACTTGATATGTTTGAATAAAGCAGAACTGTTCAGTGTTAAGCAGTGTCAAAAATTATTGAAAAAAGTGGAAACTGCCTCATAATTCAATATTTAATACACTTTTGTACTTCAAAATAAATAATTCACCAGTGAGTTGTATGTGCTCATTAAACTTTGGCCCATATTTTCTAGTTCAAGCATAAGGAATGTTTTACAAACTTCAGCATGAATCAGAAATACTTGGAACATATGTTAAAACAGGAACTGGGTCTCTCTACTACAGAGTTTTGAGTAGGAAGTAAGACCACATTTCTAACAATATAATAGATGCTACTGACATTGCTGGGCCACAAAATACATTTTCAGAACTTCTGAACTACACATATGGGTAATTTGATTCTAATTTAAAGAAATTAAATAGGTTCCAAAAAAGAAACAAATAGCAAACAACTAAATCACACTGTTTCTAGGAATATGTAAGTTTGAATATGTAAGTTTCAATTAGCTTTATAAAACTACAGTTATTTTAAAGAGAGTATTGATCTGTTGGTAATGGTTTCATAATGGTTTGGAATGATCTTCCTCTGTAATATAGATAAGAATCATTTCTTGATATGTAATTCCAGCATTCAGGAGGCTGAGACAGGAGGATTACCATGAGTTCAGGACCATCCTGGGCTATACAGTGAGTTCAAGTCCACCTGAACTGCAAACCAAGATCTTATTTTAAAAATTTTAAAAAATGGAGAGAGAATGAGAGAGAGATAAGACAGAGAAACAGAGACAGACACAGAGATACAGAGAAAGACCGAGAGAGTATTGATCTAAACAAATTTTATAAAAGTATGTAATTTCACAAGAATTAACTTTACATTTCCTAAGCAAAATGCATTATTAGAGACATAAACATGTTGAATAAATAAACCTTAATGTTACATAAGTAGTATTGGAATATTGGAGGCAGTTAAGGAAAATATAATTGAACAGGAATGGAAGAATTTATTTGCAGATGGAAAATAAAAGAGAAATTCCATTTCACCAAACATTTACTATGTGGTAACAATCTTAATGTCATCAACAATAAGCATTTTGTAGTAGAAGAGTAGTTGAGAAAATAATATTTATACTGTTCAAGTTTTTGATGTAGTTTAAAAGAACATTTAATAAGACATGTTTGAATTATATGCAGAACAGTCTGTGAACTTCATAAATTGAAAATTTATTTGTGACCTTCAGTCCTTCAATTCATTTTTATTTTATGGGTAATTTACTAGTATTTAGATATAAAATTTATTTAAAATATAAAACAAGAAATATAGAAATACTGTTCAATCGTAGGGGGAGAGATACCCACAGAGAGAGAGGGGGACAGAAGACAGAGAGACATGGAAACACTTACAGGAGGGCCTTTTGGTCCAGGGAATCCAACTGGACCCTGAGGTCCCTGAGGACCCTGAAAATAAAAAGCAGAAGAGAAAAATAAACAATATATCTTAAAATACACATCATTATATTTCTACTTTATTTTTATAACACAAATACATGGTAGCATACAACTTGTTAACTGTAGAGACAGAGCTATGGAATACAACATGATAGTAAGTGTTGTTAAAATCAAAGCAAAGCAGATGATTTTTCACTATTTAAAATTGCACTTTACACCAATGTTTTTACTTCTGGAGCACAATAAATATTTAAAGATCATATAAAAAGTATATAGAATATATATGAATCATGAAATACCATAGTGGTTTTATTTTTTGTTTTTCACTTTTAATATTGGATGGAAACATTCTAAGCCTAATATTCTAAGAGAAGATAATTAAATTCTATAGCATTCCACAAGAAATGTGTTTTTTTTTTTGTTGTTGTTCTTCTGCATGGGAATCTTTAGTAAAAGGTGAAAGATTTATACAATCTGAAAAAAGCCAGAGTTAAAAAAAAAAAGAAAAACAAAAATTCTAATCTCTATTGTTTATTTTTCCATCAGTACGTATTTGGCATGTTTAGTTTGTACCTGTACATAATATATCTTGATCCCTATTTCTTTTCAATTATTCTCCCATCTCTTCAACTCTTCTTCCCCTCCACATTTACAAAAGCTTTATTTCCATTTTCCCTCCATTCTCTCTTTTAAAAACAAAATCCCCCAGTCCATTGCTCCTCTTCCCATCTGAACACGTTTTCTGTGCTTCCAATACCCGGTATATCCTTCGTTTTGCTTCTCATTTACTCTTAGAATTTCTCACACAAGAGAAACAGTACAATATTTCAACTTGCAAGTCTGATTTATTTCACTTAAAATTATGGTCTCAAGTTATATCTACTTACTAAAAAAATCAACACAACTAACAGGGAAATAAGTATTTCAAAAATTCACAGAAAATAGATTTAATTGGCCTCTATATTTAAACTATATTTTGAGAGTATCAATATATTATTTTCTTTGTATATAAACTTCTTTGTTAGACAATGAAAGAAACTTATTGAAGAATTATTCTCATTAGCATTCAGTCTAAAATGCATCATTCATGGCTTGATGTTCAATGAATTATATTATTCAAATTTCGTATTTTCATATATTTAAATGCACAAAATAGACCACTGTACAGTGATTGTGTTGCTGAAAATGAAAGAGCAGGCAAAAGGCAATGTTATATTCACATAGAATAGTTATTTTATTTATGAATTAGACTCAGAATAAAACACAATAGAAATATAGTTTCATAAGTAATAGAATTACAGTAGAATTTATGCATTATCAAAAATCAGTTTGCTAACAATGGTCTTAGTAGAAATTATTTTTTGAGTTTTATCAATTTAGCCTTTGCAAGGAAAATATGTCACTCTTATGTCAATGTTCTGAAATCACCACAAGTTCTTGCTACTATTAGCACCTGGAAATTAAATAAATAAATAAATAAATAAATAAATAAATAAATAAATAAAGATGCTATTGTGCTATTTCTGGAGAGCCCACCCGACAATTTAAAGTGTACTTTTAGTTTATTTCATCCTTTTTCCCTCACTTCATATGTGGCCTAAATTCACTTTACACAGCTATCTTTCTTTTGTTATTCTTATTTACATCTTTAATAAATGTAAAATTCTGACATTTACGCACACACAAATCAAAAATTCCAAAAAAAGAATCTTCACATTTTCCAGTTTTTAAAAGTGTATCATGAAATTATCAAAGTATTATGCATATTTTATAAATTTACAAAATTTTTAAATTGACATTAAACTATGGAACTATTATTCTTAAAATCACTATATCTTAAAAAAATTTAAAAATCATTTTATGTGCAAAGTTTTTAGACAATATTTTGCAGCAACTACTTCTCTAATTTTTAAAAACATCTATGCTATATAAAATATTGCTAGTTTTCATAACATATAATTTTGAATTTAAAATCTTTTGACAAAATAATTCCAAAGTCACTACTTCAGAGTAAATGAAAAAAAAAAAACTGGAATTGTACTGTTAGAAATTCCAAGAAAAGAAAAATTCCTCTTCATATTAATCAAAAAACAGGAGCCCCTTATCTGCAGTTTCGCTTTCTGCAGTCATTCATGATTCATTTTGGTCTGAAATTATTAAATGGAAAATTCCAGAAATTAACAATTTATAATTGGTAATGTGTGGCTGGTTTTAAGCAGCAGGACAAAATCACATGCCCTGTCGTTCATTCCTTTATTTAGTATGTCCACATTGTGTACACTACCCACTCATTATGCAATTAGTAACCATCTCAGGTATGGATGCTCTGTCATTCACCCCAATGTTAGTGTTCAAGTATCCTTTCCTTTTACTTAGTAACACTCTCATAGAATAAAGGGAGTGATACTGGCAATTGTATTACAGCAATTTGAACTCTATTTCATCATTATTTATGTGTAAGAATAGGCCATACATAGATTGTATAAGGTTCACTAGTTTCTGAAGTTTCAAGCACCGAAGTCTTGAAAGGCAGACCTGACAGAAAAGGGGAACTACTGGATTCTTTGAGTGATGTAAGGAAGTATTTAAAAATACAGCTTAAAGATTGTATCAGAAGCCAGTTAGGGTCATCAGATAATATATACATGTCTAGCCTATTCTGCATTTTAGGTAGAAAGTGGTTTTTAATATGCCTTAATTACTACAACTGACATAGTTATGACAAAGTTACTCAATAAAATTGCAATTTAATTAAATATTGTGCTTTGTTGCTTTGTCTTGATAAATCTGGACATTTTAAAACTATTTGTAAGCGATATTAACTATTTAACAAGTATATATGATCTTCAAATCATCTTGTTTTTGGTACTGAGGATCGAACTCAGGACCTCATCAAATCATCTTTAGGAAAGACAAATTTAATTTTCAGACTTTTAAATGAAAGTGTGGACATTTATATATAATTACCTATTAATGTATTATTATAGGAGTCCTTTAAAATAGGCAAAAACAAGAACTATAATTTCTAATTCAATGGTATGAAATTCTCACCCTGAACCTACCAATTCACATATTTAGGGAAAAAAATATGATGCGGTGTAACTTTCAACATTCTTCAACTGTATCTTTAAGACACAATCTAAAGTAGTTCATAATATTTAGAGCTTCTTTCCACTAAATGAGCATATTAGGAGAAAGTTCCCATTTACCATTTAGACTATGGAAAGGATATTCTTTCTACACAGAAATGTAAAATGTACAAATATTTATTGAAAATGAATCTTTCTAAACTAACAAACAAAAACAAAACTTTTGCTTTGATTCTTTTCTCACTCTCTAATTTTTATACTTTTATCAATCACACTGGTCACACTATTGTTTCCTAATTAAAATGTAGTATCTCTAAAAGTGCACTTATTTAAAGTGATACTACTGAACATAAAATTTTGTAATGCATAAACAAGTTACATAAGGAAATGATTTTTGCTTTAAAAAACTCAGCTGTGCTGTAACTTGTTAAGTTGTTGGAATTTACTTCATGATTCAACCATTTTAATTAAACTATATATTTTTATTAAAATAGTTTTAACTGCAAAATAAATACATTTACATGTATTATTTATGAATTTCAAATGTACAGGACAAATAGACTTAATATGAGAATAGTTCACCAAGAATGAGCAAAAGTTTGAACTTAATTAAATGAGCAAAAAACATAAAGTAACCAGAAAAATGTTTATTACTATGCCTTATGTACTTATATTCTTGTCACAAATAGAATAAGTTTTATTCTTTGTTTCTTGCTGAACTATTCCTAATTCTGTTTCAAAAAAATGTTTGTTTTCTTTTTCATAACACAACTGTATAAAATAATGATATTGAAAATATATTAATATGACTACATAATACTGAAAAATACTATAGGATTATATAAAATTATTTTCTTCCAATATAATACATACATCTATATTTAAAATTCTTGCAAGAGAATAACATTAAAGAATCTGGCTTTTGTAAAATGCTGCATTATCCCAAAAAAAGTTAGCCAAAGGGCTTATTTGCTTACCAGTATTTGGCTTGATTTTATATCAACTGAAAATCAATTAACTAAATAGTTTTTCTATTTACTGGAATAGATATTTTATTTTGAGTTGAAATGTGTATCGATTTTGGCTTAATGGCCACTGATAGCTTGCATTTTTACCAGCATAATGTTGCTGGTAAGTCTATGAACAAATTGAGTATTTACATAAAAACAAGACAAGTAGATGATAGGGGATAGGTACACTTGGAATAAAAAAGAATACTCTGAGCTGGATTAAGTGTAAAATCTTAGGTAAATTACACACATTATTTCTCTCATTTCTGTGACAAATTAGTTGCATATAATGGTTCAAGCTTTTGATTGATAGGAAGAATAAATTAAAGAAAAATATTTTTTTAAACTGTGGATGAATGTGTACACACATCTCTTCCCAGAAATTCAAACACTTTGCAACAAATATACATTCATCTTATATTAGGAGATTGTATTATACTTACTCTTTCACCTGGAGGGCCAGGAGGACCATCACCACCAGAAGTTCCCTGGCAAACAAAACAAAATCAAAAAAAGAAAAGAAAGAAAGATAAAAGAAAAATAAGTTTTGATTATTTCTGACCACACTCTTCTTTCAGAAGAATTTGCTGCAAAAATCAAAAAGAACTAGTCCCCACAATACCTTTGGCCCTGGTTTCCCCGTGGGACCTCTTGCTCCTCTAGAACCTCGGGGACCCTGCATATGAGAACAAAAGAAAACATAATCCAATCTAAGCAAATGCAAAGGCACAAAAACATTATTTTGAAAAACTAAATGTGAAATGAACATCACTAGTTTAAATAAAGGCACTCACCGTTGGTCCACGTTGACCCCGAGGGCCTGGTTTGCCAGCTACTCCCTGACAAAGACAGTTCAAACACTTTCAGTACGCAGTATACCACAGTCGGCTATGAGTCTGGCGGTCATGCAAACTCATTTCCATTAGCTAATTCGATACAATGTATTTATGTGTCATACCCGTGCACCTTTCTCCCCATTGGCACCTGGAAACCCAGGAAATCCAGTAGAACCCTGAAATTATAAAAATATGCAACAATGAACGTGGTAATTAAAATTTGCTAGGCATAACTTGTGATTTTTTTTTTCCTGGAAACAGTGATTCTGAAATAGCTGGCAATGTTTAAGTCAGAAATACAATTATTAATCATGTATTTAATTTTAAGACACCATATGATCTCCATTTATGTATTTGAAAATAAACTTACAATGCGATCTGAAATCCTGGAAGCAGTAAAACGTGAATTGATAAAACATGTTTTAGCATTATCTTTAAAAGTAAAACAATCAAATATCTCTAATTTTAAAATAGCATTACAGACCATTACAGGTAAAATACATTTTTAACTCAGTCTCCATCCCTGATTCAAAGTTAAAGAATTTTTTTCATTTATATAAATAATCAAACATAATGGAAGGAATATTAGAAACTAATTCTTGAACTAACTTTGTATACATACCATCTTAGTTGAATATTTTAAACTTTTAGTACTGAATTAAATCATATAGACTGAAAAATTGTCCACTATATTTTGATTTGTCCTGTGAATGTAATCACACTTTGCTGACAGTCCAAGTCACAACTTCATAGTAAAACCTTGTGCTTGGAATTCCAAAAATCTAAATTCAAAACTTATGACTTTCATATATGGACAAATTCAGCTGTGTACATTTTTTTATGACTTAGTGACTAGCTTTCTCTTCTACAAAATGAAGGCAGTAATTACATCTTATGGTTATTTTGAAATCTGTGGGAGACTGGAATAAAGAATATAGGGTACAAAATGGTAATAACATAATTAATAATGATTATTTTCAAGTGTAGTAGTAAACAGAAGCAATATTACTTTACTGTAAAAATGGCCACAATTTCAGACAGATTACAATAATCTCCAATACTTAAATTCTATGACTTCACTTTGTGCAATATGCCCAAGTTTTTAACTTCTCAGACTGTCCTTTCATTATGACTGAGGCTGGTTTGCCTCTTAATTAAATCAATACATAGAGTAGATTAAGGGTTGAAATTCCATTCCTTACTTGCAAACTGAAGACATTGGAGGATTTCCAAATTTTCAATTTTCCTATTGAGAGCATTGCATGAATTAAATGTAATAATGTTTTAAGTCTGTAGCAAAGAGTAGCAGACATTCAGATTTTTATATATTACCCTATATATTAAGGGGAAAAACAGCAGTCTCTTTTGACTTCAGTATATTCCTCACTTTTTTGAATCAACTCATTTGCACTGAACTACCCCTAAAAGTAACGTGGCAAGTGGTTTCTCTGTATCAGAAAAATCTGGAGTGTTGCTAAAAATGTGAGTTATCATGTCATACTCCAGATTTACTAAAATGGAAACAGACTCTAATGCAGGGAAATCTAGGAATCTTCTATTTAGGTGATACTATTTAAATGTTTGGGAATCCTTGGAAGTTGATTCTTAGACATTCACAATAAGAATAGGTAAAAATAAAGGATTACTAACATATGAGAGATAACTAGCTCCATCGAAATTTCAAGTAGTGAATATATTACATACTTAGTAAAAAAATGGATACTAGTGATTTCTACTATCAGTTCTATTAAAACAGGTCAAAAAAATGTACATAATATCCTTATAACTACTGAAGGTCAAAATAACCCAAAGTATGCATTGCTATGTTTCCTTTTATGATCCAGTTTTCAATATATTCTAATTCTTAATGATAAGAGTTAAGTTGTGACCACTATGAAGACAATTATTTGGATATTTAATAATCACATCCTGGGAAGAAAATATCCATTAATTACATTTTTAAAGGGTTTTCAAATCTTTTCTTTCTTCTAACAGTCAGAAAAAGTTACATCAGGTATACTTTCACTGTGTGATCATTCTAAGAAGTTTACATGTTAGTATAATACAATATGAAAATAATTTATATGAACAAAATTTTATTTGGCAATGAACAGTTATGTATCTATTATAATACATCAGTAATAGTTATGTAGTCAATTAAACAGAATGCTCTTGTGCATAAATTTATAATACTCTTATTATATCATTTGCTCTAGGAAATTGTCTGTAAAAACAATACCAAAATGTTAAAGCACCAATTAAGCAGTTTGTAATACATAAAAATCAATTTTTTCCTTTTTCCATTTAAGAATTATCACCAGAAAATACACAGCTTATACAATAGCCAGTATTATGTATGTTTGAATAGAGAAAACAAAAAATACAAAACTACAAGGTCAAAAGATAATGGTGATACCAGTCAATAAATGTAAAATTTTCAAAATCACTTTAAATACTGTTTGAATTATAAAAGTACACTAACTTAAAATAAACTTAACATTTTGAAACAGCTATTATTGCATAATACATTTGGTTGTGTATTTTTTAATACCTATTAAAATTTATACTGCTTCTAAAACATTGAATAAATTGAAGGTCTAATTACTGCCCCTACATTGCTTCAAAGAGATTAACAGCCAAATTTCACTTTTAGTATAATCAAGACAGATTGTTTAAAATTCATTTTCTTCCAAGAAGGGGGAAAAATGTGAAGCTATCTTTGATCTTTGCTGTGTCCTACATTTTTGATTTAGAAATGAGAAACCTAAAAGCTTTTTGATGGTTAAAAAAAAAAACAGTTAAGAAAAAGGCAATATAGAAGATAATGACTAGAATTTCACATATTCAGGTTAAAGGGTAAGTATGATTCAGCTGGGGAGAAATACATTTCTTTAGTCATTCTGTTACACTTTGCTAATAAAAAGAATTTAAATAATGTTGATTACAGAACTGACTTTAGAGTAACAGTAAAAAGATCAGAATTTTAAATAAACTCATAAAATAAAATTCTACTTATTCAAGTAATATCATGACAGTTTTCTACATATTTAAATCAAAACAAAAGAACATTATAATTGCAATTCAACTGGGGAAATAGAAGAACTTATGGACTGGGTTAAGCATAGCTTAGGGTCATGGGTTATTCAGTGAATGTCTTCTTTTACTCATAATATTCGTGAAAATTCTTCACATTTTAAAGGAAAGAAACTGATGGCAGAAGTCAATATATTAGAGATAATTCTTAAAAAGTAAAATTATTGATTACTATGATATTTTATTACTTTTAAAACACAGATGGCATAAATCTTATCTGGGAATAAAATGTGCATCTTACCACAAATAAAAAATAATTTCCTGGAATCTCAATAAAAATTAAAAGACAAAACAACAGAAAAATCTAAATATTGCTATTACATGGCAATGATTGACACAGCACATGCAGATCTCATCTGTTCAGGAGGTGGACATTATGTCTTTCATTGATTACCTGTGCAAGTTATTAATAATGCATATGTAAGGATACTGCATATCCAGGACTTACCCAATAACTGAACAGGTCAAACTGGGATAGGGAGACACATTTATATATAAAGAGAGCCTCATGCGGGGCTGGGGATTTAGCTCAGTGGCATAAGCACCTGCCTTGCAAGCAGGCGGTCGTGAGTTCGATCCCCGGTACCGATAAAAATGAAAAAGACAAAAAAAAAAAAAAAAAAAAAAAAAAAAAAGAAGAGAGAGCCTCATGTATACAGACTTAAAACTATGAACTATGCTGTAGTTGACAAGCCATAAATGGGTATGCACATATCACTGCAATACAGGTATTCAACGTTTACATATTAATTCAAGTAACCACCTTAATATAAATAATAGAAGTATCAATACAGCCTTAAGAAAATTTTACGATTAGAGATAAATAGTACATCAAGGTAAACATACCATTTTAAAGCCATCTTGTTTTTAATAATTAAGCTAGGTAAATTTCAAATATCCAAAATCAGCCAGGCATGGTGATGCACACCTGTAATCCCAGCACTTGTGAGACTGAGGCAGAAGTATTGCTGCCAGCTTGAGGCCATCCTGGGCTACACAGTGAGTTGAAGGTCAGCATGAACTACATAGTGATAGCCTGTCTCAAAGAGAAAAAGAAAAAGAAAAAAAAAGAAAAAGAAAATAGAAAAGTCAAGGACAAAGACAAGGACAAAGGCAAAGTCAAAGACAAAGACAGAAAAAAACAGAAATTAGCTTCTGATATGCTAGGTTGATATGCTAGGATGAATCCTGTTTTGCTAAAAGCTAGATCCAGGTCCATATCTCTATAATATGAGATTAGGACCTTATTTGGAGAAATAAAAAAAGATCTTCCACAAATGTAATCAAATTAAGAATCTTAAAATATCTTCCAAAATTCTTTAGGCTGTTCCTATGTCCCATGACAAGTGTCTTTATAAAGGACAGAAGAGACGATACAGACAGAAAAAAAAGTCAGCTGTATAAAAATGGGGCAAAGCCTGGAGTTACACAGCCTCAAGCCTAGCAACACCTGGAGCCATGGGAAACCAGAAGGGGCAAGGACAGCTCCTTTCCTGGAGTTACTGCAAGGAGTAAGACTGTGCGGATACCTTGACATTAGATTTCTGGCTTCCAGAACTGTGAGAAAGTAAGTTTCCATGGTTTTAAGTCAAGTTTGTTGTGATCTGTTATGTCCATCCTGGGAAACAAACACTGGCAGAGTCAGTGAAGGGGGTGGAAATTGTATTACATCTTTCAAAAACATGAAGTACTGATTAAAACCCTCAGGGAGATTCAAATGGAATCAAAAGCTATTACTGATCACAAGTCATCACCATTCATTGTATAACATTAGTAATTTCTAATAGTCCTCCTTGGAAAGTCCTGATTCGATTTACAAGGTAGTTGTCAATTCTGCCTTTCGTTCATGACTTTTCTCCTAAAATCCTCCATTCCATAATCCTCTACACTCTGTAAGATGCTGGACTCCAGATATTCCTGTACTCTATGATTTTCCATTTTGAAAATACATTTTGAGTTTTCATCTTCTCTATGCCACCAAATGGAAGCTTATCATAAAATATTAGAAACATTTTAAATGTTCTTATAAGATGCTGATAAATTATAAAAATCAAGGTAATTGTATTTTACCTTTGGACCTTGTCTTCCTGGATATCCTGGTAATCCAGGAACTCCAAGTTTGCCCTAAATTAAAAAAAAAAAAAATTGAAGACAAAATAAATATTCTAAATATAGTAATAAAAGGCTTACAGCTTATTCTGAAACATTAGTACTTGAAAATTACTTAGCAAAGCTCTAATAAAAGAATCTAAGTAGCTTAGTATTCCACTAGAATTTAAATGTAATGCTTGCAACTATGTTAGACATAACGTATACTGACCAATACCTTTCCAACCAATGACCACTAGAATTATGTGGTAATATTTCAAAATATAGTGATAGTGACATCAACTTCAGATTAAAATTAAAATCAACTGAAGATGAGCATGAACTTACATGTTTTTAAAATATTATTCTGTGAAATATATGTATAAAGGGGCTGGGGATTTAGCTCAGCGGCATAAGCGCCTACCGATAAAAAGGAAAAAGACAAAAAAAAAAAAAAAAGAAAGAAATATATGTATAAAGCAAGAAAGTGTATATTTTGATTTGAGACAAAGATAAATCTTCTTGGTCCAAAACAATAAATAGCTGCACTGTTCACTGCTCCTTTCATCTACGGTTGAAGAACTTTAAGACTGGCCAATCCTCTCTGACAGAGAAGAACTGAAAGTGCTAAAAATGTGCAAGAGTTAAAAAAAAAAAAAAACAAAAAAACAAAAACATAAACATGTTTGCTCCATGATGCTATTCTCAATCATACTGTACATGGATATGCTTGAAATTGAATAGAATCTTTCTAACAATAATGTAAAACATTTAAAAGTAACAACAAAGCATCACGTGCAAGAGGACCTGTGAATGTGGTTACCCACCTTCTCTCCTGCTTGGCCGGCAGGACCTGGGTCTCCAGTTGGGCCTGCACGACCTTTGGGTCCCTCAGGGCCATCTTCTCCTCTTGGGCCTATTTGACCAACTTCTCCCTGGAACACAAAAAAATCACATTCTTGTAACTTGAAACGTACTTGGATCTGGAGAGGCAGACAAGCATCTCTACATGTGTTTATATGTGTATTTTATAAAACATAGGAAAAGTTAATAATATACACATTTTATTTATTCTTGACCTCTATAAAATAAAATAAGAAATATAATTTTAGGATTAGCACAAATTTTCTTACTTACTCTGTCACCCTTAAGTCCCATGTCACCTTTGAATCCTGGAAAGCCGTCTTCACCCTAAAAATATATGGAATAAACAAGACTTTAATCAGTCATTTAGAAGAATCCAATATACAGTTATATAAAATCAGTACTAATAATTATGGGAAATTATTTGAGGCATATAAATCCTATAAAATCTCTCTCACTATCCCAACACTGGCACTCTTCCCACTATTCCCAGAATTCTCTCATTTTCCTAAAACTATTGGCTGAAAAACTTTTTAAAAATTTTTAAAAAGCTATTGGTTGAATATTAGAGAATTTTTCACAATGTGTTCCTATTAACTCTTCTGTATTTCATGGAGTAATCATCTTCTTATACCTTATACCTTATATGTATTTTATATTATTTGAATAAAGAAAAGAGTCAGTGTTTAACTAATTATCATTTTAACCTACATTAAAGACTTGGCTTATGAAGTACAAGTTTTCAATCTTAAATTATTAATTATACCTAAAAATTTCATATTGTTTATCTTATATCATTGGCTTAGACAAAAACCTTCTAGCTCAACTTGATTCTGTATTACAACCTCTTTTCAAATAGGCAAACTAATAGTATCTGTTATGGATTAAGAACTGGTGGTCAACTTAACGCCAGCTGGATCAGCATGGCACTGAGCGAAGATGCTCCACCTGAGGGAAGTTGCCAGGTTAAATAGGTGGAGAAGAAGTGATGTATCGAGGGTTGAGGCATTAAGGAGGCATTGTGGGTTTTCCTATGAGTTGCTGTCTGAGCTGTTGGTTCTCCTGGAGAAGCTTTGGTCCTCACATTGAGCATTGCTTCCTGGCTCCAGAGGGGAAGATGTGTGCTGCTTGGTCTCCAGGATGAACTCATCATGCTGCTTCCTGGCATGTACCCGACTGTGCTTCTCATCGGAGGAGCTCGGGGCCTCCGTATCGCTGAGGACGGCTGTGGGGCCTTTCAGGATAGCCCTGGTCTTTGTTGTGTGACTTCTCGGCTCCAGCGTAGAACCCTCATCCCACTAGCACAGCTCCTTCATCCTGCTGGCATAGACTTTCTAGCTTCCACTGCTGACCCTTGGGTCTTCCCGACACAGATCCGTAAAAGAGACTGGCGTGAGTCCTTCTTGTGGGCTCTGGACCTCCAGTTGGACTGGTGGGAGGTATTGTCATGAGCTCTGGATTTTTATCTGGACTCATGTGGGACATTGCTGTGGGGTTTAGGCTCTTGGCTAAATAATCTATGTCACTGGTGTTGCGGATAGTTTTCTTGCATTTTCCTATGACTCCTGGTAACCATTATAAAAATAATATTATAAACTCCATGTCTTGATCCTAGTTGTTCTCTGTGTACAATCACTGACTATAACAATATCCTTTGCATGTACATATTTTGCTCAAAGCTGTGATGCTGAAAAATAGGCACTTTTTAGAAAAGATAATAGACACTGTGGCTATGGAAACTGTTCCTATCATTCCTTCCAAAATTGGAAAGCTTCATGAACAACCTTACTAATTCCAATATAAAAAATAAATTTCAAGTAGATAATTTTTGTATGTTCAAAACACAAACAGATATTACTGTATTTGAAATTCTGCACAGTAGTTTGGCTTTTGTCCACTAATAAAACAAAGTAAAACATGTACAGTAAATTTTGGTACAAATGAAGTAGAATGTGTGTTCAGAGAAAAAAGACAAAATGATGACAGTGATGATGATGATGATGATGGTAGGGTAAGGCAAAAACTCAATGATAGTCTTAGTATTTTAGTTGCTAGTGGGAAATAGTGTGCAAAATTCAAGGAAAGGAAACTTTAGTCTGGGTATAAAAAACAAAGCTTGGAAAGATGGACACATATATCTCCAAATCCTAATGCCCAGATGACCTTTCTAAAACTGAAAACTGATCATGTCAAGTTTCATTTTAAAATTCCTCAATGTTTCTAAGTTGGTTATGAGTGTAACAATATAAGCTTCTTCTTATCAACCCTATGATTTAACCTTTGATTTCTTTCTCAGATTTTAACATGACTCATCTCCATCCTCAAAACCTGCGATTAAGATCTAGAAAAAAATGACTTACTTGTACTTCATTCATAGTTAAACTGAAAACTCTTTTCCTTCTCTACCCATCTGGTGATACTTTACTGTTCTTTCACAATTCAGCTCCTAAATACTTTGGTAAATTTTTTCCTGACCTCAAACTCTTCCTCCATTCTGTATGTCCCAATTACACAGTTTGTATTGCAACAATGTGGTTTTGTGCACTTAGCTGACTACAAGTAACTATTTCCACAAAATGCCAGAAGCCAAGAATCATGCCTAGTTAACCAGTAAGTCTCATGAACTTATTTATTTTTGACTCTTTTAAATACATGATGGTCAATAATCATTTACTAAATGAACATTTGGAGATTACCCATACCTCAGTGGGAGTTTGGCAAGTAGGTGAAGGTGCAGAAAACACCAAACACTTGGCAATTAAGGACACAAAGACCTAAACTGAGGAAGTAACCCAAACCAGCATCGTTATTTAATTCAAAGAATTCTGACAGTGATAACATTTTTTTCTCCGGAGAAAACATGTGACAAACATTCTCATACTAGTAAAGTATCTTATAAGGAATAGAATTCCTTCTGTAGGGGATGCAACTGAGGTGATGGCTAAATCTTTTTTTTTTTTTTTATCTTTTTCCTTTCTATCGGTACCGGGGATCGAATTCACGACTGCCTGCTTGCAAGGCAGGTGCTTATGCCGCTGAGCTAAATCCCCAGCCCCTTGATGGCTAAATCTTAAAAGATGAAAATGACCACTTAATTTCTTATTAATGGTTGTGTTCATTATCTTCTCCCTAGAGAGAAAGGTAATTACACTGTTGCCAAGTTTAGTTTAAGAATACTGCACTGTATCCTAGAATCAATAATACTTTTTAGGATTGTTCAAGGAGAGATATATTTACTTAAAGTCAAATCAGTGGATGAGAGGGTATTTCTGACTCAAATTCTTTAAATAAATGGCATTTCTAAACATATAATATATCGAGTTTCTCAGACGTCCAGTCTTAAAATGATTAGATTTGAAGTAATCTTAAGAAAAACAAAACATAACAGAAGACAAAAGTTTTGGAAGATGAGCAAGTAAATTTATTTGTCATGTAATTGATTTCACTTTGTTGTGACAAGTTTAAGGATAAATTTGAAACTAAAAAAATTAGATAAGTTTGATCCTAAATAAGGCACTAATGGTTATTTCAACTTTCATTAACAATTCACAGCATTATATATTAAAGAAAAATTTTCAATTTCTTTCTTTATATCTTCTGAGATACACAAGTGATTATATTGTATATTAAAACAAGAAAATCAAGTAGGTTAAACATCCCTCAGGACTTAATGTTTCTTCACAGTTTGAAAACAGGAAAGGTTTTTACTACTAAAAAACTTCCATTAACACTTACATAAATTTTTTTCTAAAATGAGAAAAATAATAACCCACTGATTAGTATGTTTGACAACAAAACGAATTGCTGAAAAATACCTTAGACTTCTCAGGAAAACTTCCTCATGTTTTTATGTTTCCTTTTTAGAATCCTTATTTTCATCACCAGGTTTCCAGTATGTAATTGTGACATCCATGGTGTGGCGCTGGTACATGTTCATAACACACCTTAAATTTGTTTTCATGTCTATTCTTTGAGCTCTAACTCTGTCTCTTGCTCCTGTTACCTTGGTTTCCCATTATCTTATACTGGACACTTTAATTTTCTTTTCTTTTATTTTTCTCATATAGGAAAAATTGTGTGATGTTTAAGCTTGAATATTTATTTCACTAAACCTTCTGATTTCAAGGTGTACCCATTTTCCAACAATGCCTCAATCTCCTAAACTTAAAGCCTTAAAATAAGGCTTAAAGAAAGTAATCTTTCAATTGACACAACTATTTAGTATGAGAACTAGAATTAGAATCCAGAATTTTTCACTCCTTTTTAATTTTCTATATGTATTTGCTTCTTCTAAAACCAGATACCACTACAACGAAACAGTAATTTAATGAGATTTTCTATATAGAAACAATATATTTTTCCTTTGTGAGATTTTCCTCCAATGTTTTTTATCATCTAATTTTATCTGTCAATTTATAACTGTCCCTTAAAAATCCTTTATAAGCACTAGTTACAGAGAAAAATCAGATACTGACATTTAAGAAGAATCTAAGTATTGATATTTAAGAAGAAAAATTCCAGTTGGAAAAAGCATAAAGTAGCACAGACAACCTCTAATAACCACAAGCTGAACATTGCCTGAACCACTGCTGCGCTCTACTGTCAGTTCTGCAAAACGCAGTCCCAGAAAGTTCATCTGGGACAATCAGTGTGAAGCCATTATCATCACAGTAGCTGAGCTGATTTAAAGTGTATAATGTAGAGCCAGGCACGGTGCCGCACACCTTAATCCCAGCACTCAGGAGCCTGTGGCAGGAGGACCAGAGAGTTCAAGGCCAGCCTGGGCTACACAGTGGGTTCAAGGCCACTCTGAACTACACAGTGAGAATCCTGTCTCAATAAATAAATGTTTTTCATACAACAAAACTGTTTACATACCTTACTGCATCTCATTAGGATTATTTCCCTCCAGAAAAACATTTTTTAATGGCTATAATAATACATTCTTCATTTCCTATTGGAACCAAATAAACTCAAAGGCTTTTTGATATTATTATGAAAATAAATGATTATTCTTCAGAAATAATATATCAATAGTAAGAATAGTTACCATAGATATGTTATCAAATCCATCAATCTTTTATACTATAAACCTATGTGTTGATTTTAATTTTTATGTAATTTTGTACGGAGCCTACTATAAATTCTGTGAAATAACACTTCCTTTGCATTTCAAAGATTCAAAATAATCTTTGAAAGATGTGAGCCACTACATTCATATTAAAAATTTACCAGAAAAAAATCTAAATTTCTTTGTCCTCAGTCAAAACCAGTTAATCTATAAATGTTCTATAAAAATTTAGTATTCATATAAAGTTTGAGAGACCTCTACCTAGTTTTAACTTTATTTCCTTAATTAATATTTTTGCTTTCTGTAGCTTGACACATATCAAATTTCCTTATCTCGAAAAAAGTATAAAGGGATGCAGTACTATTTCTATAAAATAGATCTGTTTCTCTTCTATATTTAACCTTCATCCTAGAATACAAAAAACTACTTTTTAAAATGTTTCCTGAACACAAAGTGAAAAATTAGACTTATATTTCTTAGTGGGTAAGTAATTACACAATAATTTGAACAATAAAATACATGCTGAAGAAATTTAAATTTATATACAAGATACACAGAAACTAAAATCATCTATTAATTATATTTTACCTTTTCACCTTTTGATCCCTTGAGACCTCTGACACCATCTGCTCCCTATGGAATAAATTACAGTATTAAGTGATTATATTTCACAGTGAAACTAAATAATGTGAAAAGAATTTAACATTTACCTTTACTCCTCGGGGACCAGGGTAGCCAACAGGACCCTGTGGACCAGGTGGACCCTATAAAAGAAAAATATATAATATATTGACAATGAAAAATAATAACAACATATTGACAATATTACTCTTTTTTCATTCTACACTTTTGCTCAATAATCTCCAAAAATGTAGTATTAATATTCAGTAAAGATTTGGGAGGAGTGAATCATTTTTTAAGTGTTAGATTTGATTTGCAAACCGTGAAATTAGCACTGATTCTAAATTCCTTATATGATATATTCATGTTAAAAATAAGTTGACTTATGATGTGCAGGAATTTTGTATTTGTTCATGTGTTAGTAGACTGGTCTCTAATATTGATGATATTGAGAAGTTTGGAACCTTTAAGAGGAGGGTCCTAGTGAGAGGGGCTAGTTCACTGGAAGGAGATAACACCCAGTTCTGCTCTCTGAAGGGATTCATGCATTTTTCATGGAGCCCTGGTTAAATGCTGTGAACATAGGTTATTATAAAAGAGAAAGCCAAGTTCCTGGCTTCCTGTCTTATCATTTGATCTCTCCCTCTTGCACACGCTCTCCACTTGATGCCAACTGTCACACAGTCAAAGGAGACTACACCAGAGTTTCCTCAATCCTTGATTTTTAATCCTCAAAATATGAATCAAACAGACATTTTTATGAACTACCCAGACTAAGTAATCTATGATAGCAACAGAAAATAAATACAATACCTAAGCTGGCAAGAAGATAAATACTGTCAGTAAAATACTGTAGATAATCAGATAATTAATATTGAACTTTTCCACTAGAAAAAGTTTTGTGCCTAGTGTCTACAGCAGACAATTATAGACTAGCCAACAGAACTGCATTCAAATTAAAAAGTTATAGCTATTTGTAACATTCCCATCATGAAAATCATTATCAATTACACATTTCCCACACTTCTTTCACTTCTCTCCGATATGTCAAGAAAAGAATATATAAAACATAACATTTCTACACTAATGCTGAGAATTTTAATGGTATTTTAACAACTCAAAATAAAAGTGTCCCTACCTTTGATACTGTTATCTAATATACAACTAATATTGGATAAGTTAATTTTTAATTTTTATTTAGATTTTTAATAAATATTATTGTTAAAAATAAAGTAGTCTGTTAGTAAAATTTACCAGGAACTAATAAGATAAACTTGTGGTTACATAAGCATTTAATGATATTAATTTTTGTTGGTTGCATTATTATAATTATGAGAATTTATTCAATTCCTACTATATATGCAGAACTTGAATCTACTCTTGACTCTAACAATATCTATTTTAAAACAGAATACAGTTTATTTTGTAAGTTTAACAATATTAAATTCAAAGTTATCTATCCAAGGCATGCTGGCTTATTATACAAAAAATAATTTCAGGAGCATTATGTACATTAAAATATTAGAAAATAATTCTCCAGAAAATAAAGACACACAGAGATAAAATATTTTCTTGCATTTTCTAAAATTCATATATTATTGTGGACATAGATAAAATGTATATTTACACTATAAAAATAGCCAATTAAAGGACACTTTTCTTACTTACAAGCTGACGGGACATTTAAGTGGATATTACACAACCTACCAGAGCACCCTTTTCTCCAGACTGGCCTTCTTTTCCAGGGTGACCCTAGATTTAGTAGAAATGCATACTGTTAAGATCCAATGTCAATGGTAACTTGTAATACTACCATAAAATTCTTCCCTTCAGTTCAAATTTATTGAAATTTATTACATATTTTTCAAAAAATATTGAATATGTTTGTATCAACATTTGTACCTTTTCAATAACACTAGAAACTGCCATTTAGAAAAAAACATAGTAAGCTTGTATTTATTTCATTAGATATATATTGTTCTTCAAAGACTTCAGGAAAAGCATGCAGTAATGCATGCTATTTATTAATTCAGCCCCATTCCTAATAAATATAAATTATGTTTTTTTAATCAAACAATGTACGACATATGTATCTTGAAAAGATAACAAAAACACGTAAAGGGAAAATCCAAAAACATAGCAAGATTACACATACTAACAAGTTGTTTATATTATGTAGAGGTAAGATTGAAACAAAAACAAAAAAAAAAAAACCTCATATCTTGTATCCAATAAAACTGAGAAGCTTGAAGTGAAAATTTCACAAATAACAATAATTTTAGAATAATAAAAGTACATATAGGTTTACAGCATTTGTTATTATGTGTTGGAAAAAAATAAATACTTCTGTATTTCTACAGTAGGAAGATACCTCTAAATCTTCAGGAATTTTCGAAAAATTGAGGATATTTATGATTGTTATGTAACTGTCCCTGGACTCTTAAAGGTTGAAAAAGAAAATAAAGTGGATAAATATTCTCTGTGATAAGTGCAGGGTACAGGGAAAGGTAAAAATCACAAAAAAATTTCAAGTTTGCCAATGAAAAGATGAATGGATCTTTCTTACTGGAGCGAACGACTCATGAGGAAGTTAAGAAAATAGTGGATTCTGGATATTCTGCTAGGCAAAGACAGGATTAGTTTATCCAGAGGTCATTGTGAGCTCAAGAAAGAAATTCAGAAATGACATTTTGAGAAATGATCTTAGAGAAGTTAATTTTAATTATTGGTTCAATTTATTACTGTCAATGTATCTGTATAATACATGTAAAATCCATTTTGAAAGTAATATAAAAATTTAAATAAATATGTAACTATTACTTACAGGAGGCCCATCAGCACCAGGAAGACCGGCAAGACCTGGTTTTCCTTGTGGTCCCTGATGAAACAGAGTATCAAACATTTTATGTTAAAAAAGAAAAATAATGGCTTAATAATATACTACTATTGACATTTTTAATCTGACACAATTGCTTCTATACTAGCATGATAAACATTTAGATAACTTTCTAATACTTCTTGTGAAATAAATGGTATAGGAAGAAGAATAAAAATAAATTTTAACAGCAAAATTATGCTAGGTTTTATCATGTTTGGTGGTCCTGAGTACACTCTTTATAAATTAGCGAATTAGTTTTTAAATGTCACAGTGAATAGTATTTTAGAGAACAGAAAGGAACATAAGAAAACCACTGGGTTACAGTAGCGAAACACTAGACATTGGGTATTTCCACCAATAATGTTAATATATGTCAATTCAAATATAGTCATGAGTACTGAATAGTGTCTTTGTAAGAACAGCTAAAAATTTCCTATGGCTTAGTGACATCACACCATCATAATGTCATAGTGTAATTCATGACTCATGTTTGTGGTGATGTTAAACAAGTATGTTCTGCTGCCAGAGGCTAAAAGTATTGCAGATATAATTACATATAGTATATAATTTTTGATAACTATAAGTGGCCAAAGTGTTGGGTTATGTGCTTACTATATTGTACTTTTTATCATTAAAGCATAATCCTTCTATTTAGCAGAAAACAATTCACATGACAGTGAGCCCAGCACTCTGAGTTTGGAGAAGAGAAGGAAAAGGAAGAAGGAGAAGAGGAGAAGAAGAGAGGAGAGATAAGCTAAAAGGAAGAGAAGGAGAAGGAGGAGGAGAAGGAGGAGGAGGAGGAGGAAGAAGATGAACAGAGAAGGAAGTAAAGAGACAGGGAAACAGAAGAAAAGGGGAAAGGGAAGGAGAGAGAGAAAAAAGGAAAGAAGAAGAATATGCTGTACTATGCTGTGCTGGCAGCAGCCTCGCACACCTTCAATCTGTCATGTCTCTTGATTGCAACAGGCAACATCAAATGATTGATCTAGTTCTGCCTGGTCTGCACGAGCACATACTGTGATGCAGGCAAGAGGCTGAAATTGCCTAACGGTATATTTCACAGAACAAGTCACGTTCTTGGCATATGGTTATAATTCCATAGTAATGATGACAAAATGCCAGTATTAAAATAGTTGAAGAATTATATTTTAGTTTTATAGTTATTCAAAGGACCTGAAGAAAAATCAATCTATTTTGTGAAGGTACATAAACTAGTAAGCAACTAAAAAATAACAAAAAAAGATAACTTTATTCAACAGATCACTGTAATCTGCGTATAACCACAGAGGAATTCAAATTTCATTTAACTTGAGCAGTGCTAAGTTTGGAGGGCAGAAATCAGCATCACAAGTATTATACCCTTCCTTGGAAGAAGAATAGGCATTTTGCTGAGACTACTATCTGTCTCAAATCCCCAGTGACAGTCATCTGTTGGTCAAGTTATGAGCCAAGACTTAGAAAAACTGAAAGGGCAGAGATATAACAAGTCTAAATGCAGAGCAAAGTTGGGAATCTTTCCATTCTTAGGGAGCATTTAGGATAATTATTGTGTACATACTGACTTACACTGTAAAGCTTTATAGGAAAGTTATCAATTGGCACAAAAAATAAAAAGTAATCTTTAAATTAAAAATTAAACTTTATAACTGAAATAGCATCTCGTAAGAGGATTTAAAACTTTCAATTCCCTTCACCAATTTGCAATCTCATATTCAATCCAGTAATTAAACTTAAAGTGATAATTTTTGCTGATTTAAATAACAGCATTTTGCCAATCACCTAAATTATCTTTTACTATTAAGACATGTGTTTCTTCAGAAAATAAACACAGAGCTAGCCCATTAATTATTATTGTCAATAGGTGTAATATTTCTACGACAATGGTTTGGTGAGGACTACTACATGAATTTTGAGCTTATATATTTGAAAGGAAACAAATATTAAAACTATTGTACTATAAGATGATTTTTTAATCAAACTGAAATCAATTCATCTCTTTAGAATGGGAGCTCTATGACAGCATAGTGTTTCTCCTGCTTTTTACACTGCTTGTTTTTTTAAACGCATGGGAATAAAAATGAATGTACATCATATTTCTCAGATTTTAATAAAACAGTAAAAATTTATGGAGTGATTCTTTGCACTGTTAAGCAATTTATATGCATTTTTTACTTTGTCTCAATGAATTTCATGAAATAGCATCATGTGTTAATATGTGACAGAGTTGCATTTTAATGATCAGGTCTGCAAACAAGTCCTCCTAATGAATATTATTCTGTATTCTACTCTTTCATATAAATCATATGAATGCTGAACTCATAAATTAAATCACAGGAAATATTCAATATATTTGTAAAAATGGCAAAAAAAATCAGGCAAAATTTGTTTTACCAATTTTGATTCTCTAACTTACACTTTATGAGCTATTTTATCACAACAATAATAAAATGTAGGTTATACAAACAATATATATATATATAAATTATTGAAAATTCAAGATGTATGACATTAATTAAATTTTAAATGTTTAATTACACTATGTAACATTTAAGAGTTACTATTCACCAAGTTGTAGAAAACAAGGCTTTTGTGCCAAATAAAGAGATCATGGTATATTTAAAAAATTAGAAACAATAGAGTCTACTTTTTGACATAAATATAATACAAAATATATACTAGAAATACCATATAAGTAACGTATGCGTTCCTCCTTTTGCTCTTTCTGCTTTTGCTGTCTTCTATGACAGTGAACTATTGTCCCTATGTCATGCCACCCTGCCTTAGAGCCAGCTGATTATGGACTGAAATTTTTTGTTTTGTAGAACTATTTTAACAAAAATGTTATAAAAGTGGCCAATGAGCATATAAATAGTCAACATCATTAAAGGCTAGCAAGATGCAAATTAAAACCACAACGATATACCATTTCACATCAATTGCATGATCATTACATAGAAAATATTGCGTATCTATTAGGCTGTGGAGAATCTACTATACTCATAAATCTATTAGGCTGTGGAGAATCTACCATACTCATAAATCTATTAGGCTGTGGAGAATCTACTATACTCACAAACTGTTAGTGGAAAAAAATAATACAACTACTTGGGAAAACTTTTTTGGAAGCTTCCTAAAATATCAAACATGTTTTCCATAAGAGTAAGCACTTTTAAGTATTTACCAAAATCAAATGAAAACATCACTATGCAAAGAGTGACACTATGCAAAGAGTGACATAAATACAGTATCCACAGCAGCATTATTTTATGGGTAAAAGATAAAACTGTAAACTATTCAAATAACTATCAACTGCTAAATAAACAGAATTTGGAGTATAATATTACCTAGCAATAAAAAGGATCAAAATGCTGTTATCATGGATAAATTTCAAAAGTATTGTAACAAATGAAAGAAGCCAGACATAAAGGTCATATATGTATTATATTATGTCATGTGATTCAAGTCAAGTATTAAATTCATTTACCTATTTTCACTTATATGAAATATTCATGAAAAGTAAATCTAATAGACAGAAACTAAATGAACTCTTCTTTGTTAAGAGTTGAAATCAGAGACTGTAAGTTGACACAGGATTCTTTCAAGAGAGACATAAATTATCTAAAATTTAGGTTGTGGCACAAGTCTGAATTTCCTTGTACACAAGGTAATTTTATGGTATTTAAATCATACTCAATAACTGTGTTTTTTAAGTTCAAATGTTCATAAAAATAAATATTAAGAAGAAAAAAATTTACAAAAGCTGGCTAACAACTACATAATAACTATAGTAGACAGGAAATACTACTCTCAGGGAATTCAGAAAATGATATCAAGAAAAAAAGCCATTTCTTTACTTAGAGATTTATTCTTGTTTTGAGCCAGACATTGAGTCATTATATGAAAAATACATTAATTATACACTAATAGATGGCAAATTTATATACAGAAAATGGTTCACAATTATCCCTTTAAGCAGATCATGCTATAAAACTTTTGTTACATCATATTTTTTTTAAGTAAGAAGAAAGAAAAGAAGAGCTAAAATGAAGAGAAAACATTCATTCATACCAGGAAGTTGCTGAAATTAATACAGCTGTGAATTTCAATGTGGAAGCTATCTAAATGGTCACTTTGTAAAATTTTATCATTTCTATTTTAAAGATACATTAATTCTACTTACACTGTATTGTCAAGGTTTGACCTCAGAATAATTTCTTATTCTTTGTGTTACCCAGGAATGTATCAAAAGGCAGCTCTTACACCTGCCACAAGTTGTTAAACTCATATTTGTTTATCAGAGATTTTTAGAATAACAGAGCCACTTACTTTTTCACCAGGAGGACCAATTGGACCTTGTGGACCAGGAAGACCCTATTTTAAAAGAATTTATTTCATGTCATGAATCTCAAGAATACACTTTCCAAACAGTAAAGTATTAAGCCTCTATTTCACATAAAATGAGTTTTGAAGACCTGTATGTAAGTATATAGAATCTCTGCATTCCCTGAAGACCTTTAGAATTCTGAGTAGTTTTACACCAGCTACTCTATTTGCAAGCAGACTGTAATGTGATCCTATTCAGTACCCTCCTGAATTTTTCTTTTGGAAATGGGTCCTTTGCCAGTTTGCTTAAATTAAAAATAAGATGGAAAAATGAAAAATATTCCAATATTAACATTTTTAACATATTTAGCACTTCACAAAATTTGGAGACAGTCAGTTTTCTTGTGAAAAACACTACCATCTTAGCCATCACCTTGAGGGAGCTGTAATGGCTTAGACTTACTTGAGGTCCAGGATTTCCTTGCTGACCTGGAGGTCCAGGCTCCCCTTGGGGACCCTGCATCAGAAAATACAAAGTCCTTAATAGGGCTATTTGTGCAACTAATGTAGTTTTTTTTGTCTTCTCCTCTGAAAAATAGCACCCACATCAGTTTCCCATAGACAGTATCTAGAAAATGTTACAAAACATTAATGCTAGCAGTTGCTACTATATTTAGCAAAGTATCATTTAAATGTTCATTTTAACAGCACCAGTGGTTAGTGTTCAGATTAGAGATGAATTTAGAATGTTTGCTACATACCATGTTCCCTTTTGGTCCGGGGGGGCCATCTACACCTGCGATACCCTTACATGGAGAAAAACATGTTATACTTGTTTCAAAAGTTAAAAGCTAAGTCAAAATTTTAAAAGTCTACTCTGATACCATGGCATACATTTGCCCAATGTCACTAAAACCTTTTTTAAGATTAAATTAAAATGGGGCTTTAGGGTTCACAGAAAATGGGGTAAGGCTTATACTATCACATTCCTGGCCAAATTGGAGATAATCTAGCATTGTTTTCTACTGGATAGGCTTCACCATAAAAATGGCAAGACAAATGAAACAGAAGAAAAAAGAAATCAAGAATGGTATGTTAGGCAGCATCCTTAGAACTTAAAATACCAAGGTACTTAGGGTGTGGCTATCTACTAAGAGGTTTTCTTAAAATAACAGTTTGGAAAAAAAAAAAAAAAAAAAAAGGTTGCCATAAGCCACCCCTGGAAAACGCAGCCGGCTTCCAGCAGTACATACAGGCTGTCCTGGAGGTCCTGGGGTTCCTCTGGGTCCAAGCAAACCTCGTGGGCCCTAGCAAGGAAACAAAGCAAATGCACATCCTTGTAAGAAATGCCTTCAAAGCATGCTTCTTCCTTTAAAAAACTCTGAGTATATTATTTTGAGCAAAATATTCACACATCTTTTCTTCATATACTAAAAGTGACATTTACATGCCATTTTTATGAAACATAAATGTCTACTGATTATACTAAGCCAAAAGCCTGAATGCATAAAAGTCTTCATAAAGAAACTATGTAACTTTGATTCTATAAATTTATGTATGAATCACTTGGGGAATTAAGAGAAAAATAGTTTTCTCTTAAAAAATAAAGAAGATGTTAGTGCAACATCTCTGTCCAATAGAGAGACACAAATTAAAAGAACACTGACATTCCATGTTACTCCAGAAAGAATGACCATCATCAAGAAATCGAACACAATCAAATGTTGACAAGGCTGGTAGGGAAAAAGGAACCGTTCAACATTGTTGAAGGAAATGTAAACAAAACAAGCATTATTGAAATCAACATTGGAGATTCCTGTGAAAAACTGAACTAGAAATTCCATTTTACACAGATAGTCCCTTTCTAGGTAACTTCTTGGAACAGTTAAAGATAACATATGGCAGTGACACACACATACCTATGTGTACAGTAGCATAAATAATAAGTGCTAAATCTTAATATCCATCAACAGAAGAATGTGGAAAAAAAATGTGAAATTCATGCAAAAGGAATACTACTCTGCCATAAAGAAGAATAAACAAGTCATTTGTAGAAAAATGGATACACCTTGAGATCATAATGTTAAGTGAAATAAATCAGACACACTCTGTCATATGCTTTCTCTTTTAGGAGACACACAAAACATACAGAGCAAAATAAACAATTATATAAATAGGGAGATAAGTCTTTTGCAAGAGGGAATGGGACTAAGAGACAAGAAAAGCAGAAGGGGATAAAAAAAAGAACATGTGTAATGTACATATACTAAGGCCCCGCAAAAAATTTAATCACTATGAACTGAAAATACGTATCAATGATACAAAAAACTATATTCTAATAAAAGTTTTGTTGGGGAAGAGAGGAACTGGGGATTGAACTAAGGAGCTTTGCAACTAGGTTGCATCCCCAACTCTTTATTTATTTATTTTGTATGAATAGGTCTCCCTGTGGCTCAAAGCTGTCCTGCCTAGGTCTGAATCAGTCTCCCAGAGTGCTTGGAAGACAGGCATGTGCCACCAAGCCTCGCTAAAAGAATTCTGAATGTGTTACTTTTAAACGTGATTTTTTTCTCTTTCCTCTCCCGTTTCACTTCCTTGAATATTTGCTTAACCATAGTTGCCTTGACAGCCTCCAACCTGGAGCAAATTAAGAGTAGAATTAGGAGAACCTACCCACTTCAATTTACTCATCATTAGGATTCGGTGGGAACATGCTTATATATTGTATAAACTAAGTCCCTCCTTCTGTTGAGTCTCTAATAATAAGTCACTAATCCTAAATGCACAAATCGAATCTGGAGCTACTGATAATACCCAAATTAAAAGAGAAAAAGAAAGCACGCAGGAAAAAAATGTGTAAATTTTTGCTGGTGAGATGTTATTTTCCACATTTTTTCTCTCAAATTTCTTGGATTTTCTTTATAACAAAATAAGAGATCTATATATACCTGTTTAGCAGGACAATGACCATGTAAGTTTAGGAAAGACTACACTGTACCTGGGTTTAACATTGCTTACATGTGTGGCATCAGTCACAGCTCTTTAAAGTAAAAATGCTATTATTTGAAAAGAAAGAAAACACCGCTTACCGCTTCACCTGGAAGACCCCGGGGCCCTATTTCTCCATCTTCTCCCTGTCATTGACGAATAGAGGGCAGGATGATTACACATATCATCAGTTTAGCATGATTTTTTCCACCTATGGTTTAATTCTGTATAGGTCATAAAGAAATGAACTATTAATATACCCTCATTCCATCATCACCAGGAGAACCAGGAGGACCTTGGGAGCCTCTTTCACCCTAAAAGATAAATAATAACACAGTTAGCATATAGAATAAATAAAGTGTTTACAAGTGTTTCAGAGAGGCACCTTAACCAAATGCAAATGGACATTTTACCAGGACACCTTGGTCTTTGTCTTCCAGAATTTCACAGATAAATCTTAATTTTTCAGCTCTCTCTGGTAATTCCATATAAGTATGTTAGAAAAAAAATGTTTTCTCAAAATTTAACACAAAAACTTTAAGTAAAATAATGAAAATATTAATTTTTCAGATGTTTATTACAAGATGAAGCCTTTAAAAATTTTTTTAATATCACCCCAAGCGTGGATATACTTTGATGCAGTTAATGGAGTATTTTCTACCTCTACATAAGTTATTTTTATATGTTACAAATTAAATCAGAATGGTTCAAGAATGCCAAAGGAATTCTGTTCTCCTTATTTAAAAAACTCAATTATATGTTTATCTTTACATAGATTAGACATGCAGAGAGTATTTTTCTAGACGTCAGTAGGGTTCTCATTTCTTTCTTTTCCACTGTCCATCTTCATTTTGCCTTAAGGCTATTGGTATCCCACATTTTCTTCTTTCTGATGAATAATGATGTATATATCCAAAGGTTATCTTTTTTTTTGAGAAAAATGTCTGTTGATTTAATTTTCCTACTAAAATATCAACTAGATTTCTATTTATCATGGTGACTTGCTCAGCCTTAGCAAATTATAAGCTCTTAGAGTGAAAATTAACATCACAAAGAAATAATACATTGTCAGTAAATTACTATGTTAATGAAGGATGGCCTATGGATGTCCTCTTTTGATTATATTCCCACAGGCAAAATGAAAGAAATTTTCAGGCAATTGTCAAAAATTAGATAGAAAATGAAATTTCCTTTATTAATGCAATCTTTCCCATATATATGAATATAAAGATCCTGGCTTGCTTTATGTTTGCATGCAGGAGCATTCATATAATAAAAACAATTGATGCCACAAAATTTTAACTATCTTTCTTCAATTAACTTGTAAATGGATTTTAAAATATTTGAATTAATTTTTTCAATTACTTAAAGTGAGTCAACACAAACCATTGCATAGAATTTCTATTGTCCTAAAGTAGTATATGTGACTTACCCTATGACCTTTATCACCTGGCAGACCTGGAAGTCCATCAAACCCTCGATCTCCCTGTAAAATCACAATCATAATCATCTCATTTCTAGTTAGAGCTGCAATGTAAGTTGAATGTTAAGTACCATTTCATACCTAGAAATTTTATTTTACAACTGAAAATATTCCTGGGTGAAATGACATATAATAGCTTAATATATAAATATTTGAGCTCCTGACCTTTGCTCCAGGCTCTCCGGGCATTCCTCTTCCTCCATCTGCACCTGGACGACCCTGACAAGGCCAAGAACAGACTTGTCAAAGTCTCTCACCAGAGGAAAACAAAAGAAAGCAAACTAACTGACCAGTGCTGAGAAACCTCAGTGAGAATCTGCCATACCCTTTTTCCAGGTTTTCCTGTTGGACCAGGGGGACCTTGGACACCTCGAGGGCCCTAGAGCAAAACATCACAATTGTATCATATTGTAGAAATTTTGGTCATAAACTCTGTAACATCAATAATATAGCTTTAGAAACTGATATTCTCTTAGCTTTACTTGCTTAGACACAATGAGTTGATTTCTATCTAATGATTTAGATAAAGTCAAAGACAAGAGAATCAGTTTTAAAATGTCTTCTTATATTAAAGAAGGCCTTATTATTTATTAAATTCACAGGTAGGAAAGCAATCTAACTTTAAAAAAATAATGGAATATTCTAAACTTTAACAATGCTCTTAGTTACTTATTTTGTTCTCAAAACCATGGGTTTTATATTTCCATGAACTGAACATATTCTACCCATCTGTCACATTTTTCTTCTCTTTCCAAATCCTTTCCCTTCATCTTTCTCTTCTCTTTTTAGATATCACATCCAAGATATTTTGTTTTTCATTGAAGTTAGCATACTAGATTTATACTGCTTTTTTTCATAGTTGAATCTCCTATTAGACTGTAATCTGCTAAAGTTTCCAATCAAATGTGTTTCAACTATTCCTGCAAGAGCACAGTGCTTAGTACATACTGATATTTCATCGATCATACACCCATACCAAAAATGCTGAGGATCATTTTTTACTGGTACTATGCTCAGCCAAATTAATCACTGAAAAGATTAAATATTTGCATTACAATAAGTAGCAGTATCGACACATCTATATCTACATATGTTATATGAAGACTGATAAACCAATTTTAAAGTAAAACTACTACAAAGTTAATAGCTGATGAAATATAGTTCAATATAAATATACACCTTTACATCCCCACTATTTTTTAACATTAATTTAAATAATGTGTATGTAATGAATATGGTAAAAATAAAATCTACATTTAAAAGTACAAGTAGTTTTTATGATCACTATAAAATATTGACACTAAAATATAAAGTTGAGATTATCTAGCAATTAGAAGTAAAGAATACAGTTCTTTTACAAACATGTTGCAGCGGAAATACTCTGACCTAGACAAAGCTGGAAGGCAAGGACCAATAACACGAAAAATGTTGCTGCATTTTAAAGAAAATGATCTTTCCTTTGATAGAACATTTTTGTCTTTGGCCTTGGGCAACCAAGGAAAAAATGCAAAATCCACAAACACTGGTCTAGTATGTTTTGTAATACTTATGTTTTGTAAAGGGAAGAGTTTGAATTAAAACGTTTAGAAACTGCAGAGGAATACATTTCTACAACTGCATATACTGTTTCCATAGTTTCATGAAATTCTCAGTTGACCTATAAATATTTTCTTTTTTATGGCAATGTTATGGAAGTTTGCCATTTTTGAATCAATGAAATATTAATTCATTATTATTGTGAAGATTTTTCCTCATTTTAAAATAAACTATGGTGCATCCACATGATGGAACATGTGGCCCACAAATGTTTTTGTTATTCTAGGTCTCCTTCCTTTCCAAATTAATTTTAGGACTGTATTTAATTGTGACCTGCATCTAACAGCACACACTTTAGAGGCACTCAAGTGTGCTGAATGTCAGAGACATTAGGCTGCGTCAAAAACTTCTCTTGTAAGATTATATAACGTCTAAATTGATAAGGTTCTTAAAAGTACAAAACGAATGAGGAATACACTCAGAGTTCAGCAGGTGCTAGGGGTCACAGGAAAGTTCCACTGTATCAGGCAGACACCAGGAAAGTAAAATTATAGAAAATTATGTATTCCAATGATTTTGGTATTACTGATGTCTCTCTCTTCCTCTCTCTCTCTCTCTTTCTGTCCTCTCTGTCTCTCTGCCTCTCTGTCAATATATACATATATATCATCATATATAAGACACTATCTATATAAAACATCACATATATGAACTCCTTTCTTCATATATATATATATGATTTTGGTATTATTGGTGATATATAGATTTAATTGTTCCTGATGTTGTTTTTCAAATAAAACTATAAAGAAGGAAAAAATAGATAACTATTGAGTCCCTGCAGCCCAATGTGTTAAGGAAGTATTTTCATCCATAAATGAATGCATTTTTAAAGTCACTTTTGTTTTTCTGTTATAATAATAAGGTGACAGAGTGTTTGGAGTTGCGTCTGCATTTCTAATCTGTTCCATTGATCCTCAGGTCTGTTTTTTGCTTGTTTCTTTTGCTTGTGTGTTTGTTTTGCCAGTACCATGCTGTTTTTGTGACTTTGTAGCTTTTGATATATAATTTCAAGGTAGATTGTGATGCCTCTGCCTTGTCTTTGTGGCCCACAAATGTTTTTGTTATTCTAGGTCTCCTTCCTTTCCAAATTAATTTTAGGACTGTATTTAATTGTGCTAGTATGTTATTAATGTTTTGATTGGGACTGCATTAAAGCTGTATAACAGTTTTGGGAGAACGGTAATTTTCACTCTGTTGATTCTTCCTACCCAAGACCAAGGGATATCTTTTTCCATTTTCTAATATCCTCTTCAATCTCCATTTTTGGAGTGCTGTAGTTTTCAGTGTAAAGATCTTTCATTTTGATCAATAAATTGATTTCTAAATATTTCATTGCTTCCATGCTACTGTGAAAAGTATAGTTACCCTAATTTCTCTTTCAGTGAGTTTCTCATTTGTTTAGAGAAATGCTATTGATTTTTGACTGTTGACTTTGTATTCAGGTATGTGATTGAATTTGGCTATTATTTAGATCAAAGATTTAAATACTAAAACAGAAACACTAAATCTGCTGAAAGACAGAATAAGTAGAACTCTTGAAGACATAAATATATGCCAATATTTTATGAAAAAAACCTCAAGTGACACAAATTACCACAAAGAATCCACAACTTGGGTCCTGTCTTATTAAAAAGCTTTTGCACAGAAAAAGAAATCACCAACAAGTGAAGACAACCAACAGAGTAGGAAAAAAAAATTTTTCAGCTGTTTGTCAGGCAAAGGACTAATATGTAGATAATGTAAAGAACTCAAAAAATCATAAACCCAATATTTGAAGACCCAATTTAAAAAATAGGCATCTAAAATAAATACATATTTCAAAGATGAAGAAGTACAAATGGAAAACTTATATATATATATATATATATATATATATATATATATATTTTTTTGTACCAGAGATTGGCCTGAGCCACTGAGCTAAATCTCCAGTCCTACAAATAGGAAATAAATATACGAAAAAATTTTCAACATTATTTGTCATTTGAGAGATGCAAATTAAAACAACTCTGAAATTCCATGTCACTCCAGAAAATGGCTCTTATCAAGAAATCAACCAATAACAAATGCTGGGGGGGCTGTGGGTAAAAAAAAAATCCTTTTCCACTGTTGGTAGGAGTATAGCCTGGTGCAACCATTGTGAAAATCAGCGTAGAGGTTTCTCAAAAACTAAAACCAAAGGTTCAATTTGATTTAGCTATTCCTCTTCTTGGCATCTTCCCAAAGAATTAAAAGCCTCACACCAGCACAACATACGCACACCCATATTTACAGTGTCACAGTTTGAAATACCTAAATCTTGGAAATAGCCTAAACGTTCATCTATGGATAAATGGATTAAAATGTGGCTTTTTTTTATACCATGGAGTATTACTCAACCATAAAGAAAGATAAACTTCAGGAATTTATAGGTAAATGTATGAACTCTGACAACACACTCTTAAGTGAAATAAATTAGACACATATGTATAAATATCACACTGTTTCCCTGCTTCAAGGACCAAAATATACAATACATATTTTAAAACAGGAAGAAAATGTTCAAATGAGAAGTAGACTAGTCAGGGGAGAGAGGGAAAGTGAGAAAGGGAAAAATGAGGAAAAAAGGAAAAGAAAACAGAAACAAAGCTTTTGTAAATGACAGGAAGGGGGGCAGAAAAGAGGAAAAAATAGAAGAATCAAGATATAACACGTACAGGTAAAAATTCCCTATGATGAATGTGATCAATATGTATACCTAAAATGTACTGATAAATTTAATAAAAAAGTAAAAAAGAGATGAATAAGATTTAAGTAACATAATAGAGACACTTTGATACTTTGTTTATTGTAATAGATAAAAGAAAAAATAAAATAAGGGAAGACAACATTGCTTTTTACCTGAGGACCAGGATCACCACTCTCGCCCTTGGCTCCAGCTGACCCAGGTCCTCCCTGCATAGAAAAGTTGAAGACAAAATCCACTTAATTCAGAAATTCCCAAAGCCCTTTTACCATGTATTGTTTCCCACTTGAAATAAACATTCTAAATATGATTAATCAACTTAGGACGATTCCATTAATTAACACAGTAAGCATTTCAAGTGTTTTCCTTTAAGTGCTCCTCATCTTAGCATACTGATTGTATTTCCGTGTGTGAACCGTATTTAAGGGTTTATATTTCACTAATACCTAGACAGAAGCCAATCCCATGAGACACATTAAAATAATCTTCAATGTTGAGAACCATCAGAACACTTAAGATGATACACAAGGAGTATCACTACACTGTGGTGTAGCACTAGAGCAACACAAGTTCACACAGTAGGGTGACAAAACAATTTAAAATCACGTGTGCATTGAATCATTTATACAAAACAGATTTGGTAACAATACTACTGTTGTATAGACAGGTGTTTTCAAATGCTGAATTCTAGAATTAAAAATGGCAAAGATAAGTGCTATTTTTATCATAACTCTCCTAAGATAATGTAGAAATATTTTTCCAAGATTGTTTTGTTCATGAGAATAAGTCATTATAACAAAAATATCTTATGAATATTTACACAATTCAAAAACTTCAATGAAATGCTTATGTACTAAACAGGAAAAAGTATTAGATTGTTAAACTTAGTGTTATGTAAAAGTACAATGATTAAAATTATACTAAAGTGGCAAATGCAGGCTCTCCAGAGCCTTCTGGTGGTTGTGAAGTAAAATAACTACTAACACGACTCAAAACGGAAAATCAAGTAACATAAATTTTCAAATCTTGAAAATAATGATGATTGTCTAGTTTTAAATGAAGAGCTTCTGTAATTTAATTTTCACAAAAAATATGTAGTTCTATGTTTAAAAAAATTATTAAGTACTATGTGGATACAGTTACAGAAGTGAATTTGCTTTTCACTAATTGATTGCATTGTATCTTTTATATATAAGCATTGTGCAGTCTATAAATTACAATTATCTTGCCAAAAAATTTACTATAAAAAATTTCCATGTAATAATAGACAGTAATAGAGTAAGGAAACACATTTTCAATATTTCCTATATATTTTACATGTAGCTATACATTTATGCATAAAAATTGTATAACATTTCTATAAATTAGTTTTTCATTGAAAAGTATCAAAATTTATGTTAAAATCTAATGTACATTTTGTTTTTAAAACTTGAATTCATGAACTATTTTCTTAAATGATACAGTTACAAGATATTTGAAATAGCTTAGTATTTTGGAACAAAGCATTATACAAAAGAAAATGGTGAAAAAAAGTAACATGTTCTCTAAACTATTATTTAATTTTTAAGTAAGCTAAATATTTCATAAGTGGATAAAATGAATAAATCTTTTCTATACATTACAAATATTCACAGCTGTCCATGTTTTCACTTTGTCAACATATACTGACAAAAATGGCTGAGCCTCAATGATTGGCCAAGAATTGCTTACGTAACAAACTCTCTTTGGTTATACTCATCACCACCCATATCCTCTGCTTTCACTTTTCAAGATCGTGAAATAATGAAATTTAGTTGGATAGTGCTGTGTTGGAGGTCCTAGACTGTAAATCAGAGTGTGGCCATAAAAATAAACTACAGCACTTGACAAAAATATAATTTGTCATCTCCCAATTCTAAAAGTCCCAAGTTCCAGTCTGCAAAATTTTTATTTTTAATAAAACACTCAGGTAATCTTTGCACCAAATTCTGGAAAGTACTAACATATTTTCCTCAAGTATATAAATTTAAATCACTGATACATTAATTCATTTTTCCTCCGTTGAACTGCATATACTCTACCATATTCTTTTTATATTTTAAAAAGCAGAATAGTGAAGTATAAACAAAATAAATTTGATAATTTTCAGAAATCTGTATAATTTGAATTATTTTGAACATATTATCAGGACATACAAAACACATGACTGCCTATGACTGAAAATGTAAGACTTCAATATTAATGACATTTCAAGATTAAATTGAGGGAAACACACATTTATGGAAAGCGACATGATTCATGTAAAACGTAAGGAAAACTTGTGTGATCTTAATGCAATCAATAATATAGACTAAGTAATGAGAAGGTTAAGTGATTCAAATTTTAATAAAAACTCTGTGATTGCATATCATCTACTATCATTTATGTTTAGATGACCCCAAGCCTCATTTCATCATGGAGGCAACTGAATTTAGTGTTTGTGATTGGTTCATTGTCTATTGCTGGGACTGGCAGTGTAAGTGCTAGGGGCAACTAGCCAGCAGACAATATAAGGGAGGGAAGGGGGCATCATTTTGTCTTTTGCCCTTTTGCTTTTGTGGCTTCTGGTATCTGCTGAAGCCAACATGTTGCCCCTAAGTCACGCCTCCCAGCCTTGGAGCCAGCTGAGTATGGACTGAAATCTCCAAAAACCAGAAGCTAAATAGACTTTTCTTTCCTTCATAGTGAATGTGAAGTATTTTGTCCCAGCGATGAGAGAGAAGTAACCAAGATGTCATCTGAGAACACAGATAAATTTTTTTAACTTTCAGATTAACATATTGCATAAATATTGGAACTATATGAGATTATATTAAAGCATAGAAAAAATAATTTTTATAATAAAAACAAATTCTTATAGGCATTTTTTCTCATAAACTGTAAAATCAGTGAGAACACTGGTTTTCTTTCTTTCTTTTTTTTTTTAATTGGTCCTGGGGATCAAACTCACAACCACGTGCTTGCAAGGCAGGTGCTTATGCCACTGAGCTAAATTTTTTTGTGTTATTTCTATTTTTGTGTTATTTCTAAATTGCTTCACTGCTTACCCTTAGTACATTTCAAAATATTTCAGAAAAGAAAATTGAAAACAGCTTGCTGGCATGTTTATAAGGAAAAGAAACCACATTGTTATTTTCTAAGAGTTTCTAAAAAAAGAAAATAATTTCTCTATTATCTAAACTCAAAATATCAAGGTCACCTTCAGTTTAAACCAATTATCTTGTTTGCTACTGAGATTCTGTAATAATTTTCACAGCTCCTTACATAAATGCCTTTTTAAATTAGAATTTTATTTAGTGTTAAATTAAACCTCAAAAAGTTAATGAAAATCGCATGTTATTACCTGAATCTGAGCCAAATAACTGGTATATTTTGAGAAACTGTCACATATGTAACTGAATTATATTTTTATTTTATATACTTGACCTGAAGCACTTCAACTAAAACATTTTTATCAAAATATACTTAAAACTGAATTAAAAGTATTTTTATTAGTGAGACAATATCAAGCAGGAATAGTTACACACACAATATTTTAATCAACTACAGATATGAACAAAACCTGGCAAAAGATCTTCAGGGAAATACTGGTATAAAGAATTTACCAAATATTATGTTTTTTGGATAAAAAAAACCTACCACAGGACCTGGTCTTCCAGTCAGACCCATCGGGCCAGGTGGGCCTCTCAGTGCAATCTAGAAAATTAAAAAAAAAAAAATTGTCAAGTTCCAGAAAGGTCTTCTCAATGAGCATTTTGAAATGTAATGGTCACCGGCACAAACTCCCTTATATTGCACATGATTAACACAGCTACAATAGCTACATGCTAGAAATAGTGACAGGTTACAGAAGAAAGGAAAGTTGCCAGACTCAAAAAGACCTAAGTAACTACGTTTTTTATGTCTTAAAACATAAAGAATCTATATCATATATTGTTGGGATTTAATCAATTATGAAAGTTAAAACAGTAAAGCTTTAGAATTCCTGAAAATTTTCTGTTCTGGTACGTACTTCAGAATAACATATAGTTTTCTCCACTTAAATGTTCAAACACAATTCTCAAGAAAATATTCTTAAAAGTAAACAATTTGAGATACTTTGAATAAAATTTTCAAATAGCACTTAGGAAAATGTAGAATATTGAAAGTCCGACTGCACAAAGCAGAAAGCATTGGACAGAAAGCATTATGATAATCCACTTTTCTCAGTAAATCTGAAATTTAATACTTTATAATGGTGTATTTACTTTGTATAATCAAAAATAGTGAACTGATCACATGCAGTTTTATTACACTTAAGTATCAGACGTATATACTTAGCTTATCCTAAAAGCTGTAATTTATAGAATCAACAGTTAAAAATCTGATAGATGATGAATTTTTTATGGTGTGATTATTTTGATTATTAGCGAGTTCAAAAGATTAATGTTTAGGTGAATCTCAACATATCAAAATAAGACTGTGATGGAAATAAAGACAAAACTATATTAAAGTAGTGCATGGAATGAAAACAAAAAGATCTTCAAAATTGCACTTCTAACTCCCTATGGGATTTTTTTTTTTTTTTGTCTTTTTTGAGATGGGGTCTCACTATGCAGTTCAGGCTGGCCTTGAGCTCACTTTGTAGCCCAGGCTGGTCCCCCTCACCACAGCCTCCTGAGTGCTGGGATTACAGGCATGAACCACCATGCCCTGCTCCCTATGGGATTTTTGAAAATATCCTTTAAACCCTGAGATTAAATATATGATAAATTGGAATTATAATGTTTGCTACCAATTTTTCAAGCAGGTAAAGAGGACTAATAAAATGAGGAATTCATCAGACTCAAATACTTAAATTCAAATAATTATATTATTTCAAAATGATAAAACTCACAAACTAAATCACAGGAATTGTAAAATAATTATTAAGTATTTTCTAATTTATATTATACCATGGCCTAGTAACCAAATATTTAATTTTTTTTGTCTTTTTCGTTTTTATCGGTACCAGGGATCAAACTCATGACCACACACTTGAAAGGAAGGCACTTATGCCGCTGAGCTAAATCCTCAGCCCCCAAAATATCTAATTTTTTTATTACCTTTAAATATGAGCCAATCAGTGATGATATTTTTTTCAGATTAGTAGACTTAGGCAATACATTAATATTGAAAGTACATTACAGCTTTCACTTATATTTTCACATATTTTGCATATATAAATATGCAATATATAAATATTCATGATCAATACAGTTATGACAGAAGGGATTTATATTGGTTAGTAAGTGGGTAACCATTTCCATAGCAACCATAAATTCCTTTTTTCCTTTCTTACTTAAAAATTACTATTAAAAATGTAAGTTTTCTGATTCCTTCCTATTTTTTGTCTCATATGTCTTAATTGCAATAAAGATAGATAAAAATATAAATGAGATTATTTTATCAATCTAAAGTTTGTTGATGCTTTCAATTGACAACAGATTTTCAACTGAAGGAATATCAATACTGAATGGATTCTGTAAAAATAGTTTAGATGATAAAGATTCTAACTAAAAATATAGACCTCAAGATCCTTTTCACATGTAGTAATGTTCAAGAATCTCAACTTTCTGAATTATGTGGAATATTTCAAAGAATCAAGAAGGCTAAGTTTAACATATTTCTTTCAATCTTTATTTTCTTAATTATATACATCAGTCAGTCACTGACACTGCTCAGAGATAAAAGATGTACAAGCTAAGTAGAAATTTAAGTTCATTAACACTCATCAAAAAGAAAAATACAAATTTTGGGTGCCAGAATAAGAAACAGTCTGAATTATATAGAATTTCCTCTAGGGTCAGTTACTTAATATTGACTTAATTATCAATACTGGAAAACTAAATACAGTTTTAACACTATTCCATCTATATTCTATATACGACACACACACACACACACACACACACACACACACACACAATCAGGTTGTGGGAAAGCGTGTTTGCCTCTCTTACCCGAGCCTGCTGCAGTATGGCCTGTGCCTGTGCTTCCTGAGCAGAGATAGTTGGTCCTTTCGAACCATCCCCACCATAACGAAACTGGGAACAGCACATAAAGAAGATGAAAATTACCCTCTGTCAAATACGTTCTATTAGGTACCTTAACTACTAGATTAAAAAAAAAAAAAAAAAAACCTTGCCTAAAATAGTGGTATTTTACAAAACTCCAAAGTAATTCCAAAATGAGTCTTAGTACCAAGATTTCTTTTTCTAATTTACTTTTAATTTATTTGTTACTCGATATAGTGACTAGAAAACACTTTTCCCACTTTAGCCTATAATCATGGAATGAATCTCTGGGTAAATCTCTTTTTATCCACATAAATGCTACCTACTTTACTTTTTCTTTTGTAAAAATTCCAAATGTACTAATTTCAGTGGTGGTTATAGACCTATCTTTATTTTTTGGGCCAAAATTTTTGAGATCTCCCTCAATGGAGAAAAGTTTGTCATTATATTTATTTTGTTTGCCCATTCTTGAGCAATTATACTAGAAAATCAATCTACTTTATTATTCTACCAAACAATTCTAAATTTTAACTCAAAATGTCATATGAGTCAATTTTTTACTCTACAAAAATATTTTTTGAAATTTTATTACCCTTAAACCATAAATGGAATTTTTTATTACCATAATGCTATGATAACAGAAATTTTAAAAAAATACCTTTTAGCAAAGCAAATAATTTTGAGAAATGAATAATGACACTATATTATCTCTTCTTTAAAAAGTTTCAACCATAGTCTATATTTTGGCAAATAATATAGTAATATTATGTTAAATAGTATATGAAATTCATGTTAATGATATAACCAAGAAAAACACATACTATTAGTGCACTTATAAAAATTTTATGAGCAAAAGTGTAATCAAATAATGAAAAATTTTATGTAGAGATATAAATTTTTACCAGATTTTAGTCAGTAAAATTTTCTTGTAATTTCCAAAAGTTGCCTGTGTCTCTACATAGAATGGTGCTCTATTAATAGTATTTTTCAAAAATATGATGATAAAATATGAAAATAAAATAAAATATTTTAAAAAGAAAACTACCTACCGGTAACATTAACATAGTACCAGGAGGACCAGGTAGACCATCAGCTCCTGGTAAACCAGGACGTCCTGGAGGTCCCTAGGAAAGTAAATGAAATAATCAAAATATATAATAAAATTTATTTGAACTAAGATAATTTAGAGTAACATCAATCTATATTAACTACTTCATTATTGCTCTTTCTAGATTGGTTAATCTCTTTTTTTGGTAAGTGGCACAGGCTTGTAATTCCAGCACTCAGGAGGCTGAGGCAGGAGGATCACCACAAATTCGAGGCCAGCCTGAGCTACACAGTGAACTGAAGCCAACTTGAACTACACAGTGAAATACTATCTCAAGAAAAAAATAAAAAAATAAAAAAAAGACTGAGCAAACTACATAAGAAAATGAACAACTGCCTAATATGCCACTTAAGCCCTCTTAACTTATATAACTCTTACCAAACCAGAATTTCTGTAACAGGTTTAAATTTTGTAATTTAAATATAAAATAAAATATTTTGCTTTATTTAAATTGTAAAATATAGAAAGTACAATTTAATTTAAAATTAAATGTAATCTCTGATCTACTATTTTTAAACGGGGAAATACTCTAATTGACTACTGAAGGATGAAAATAAATGGACAGACACTTTACAAAGAAAGTTTAGAGCAGCTTAACACAAAGGTTCTACTGCATCGTATAACACAGAATTTGATCTTCATAGTAGAACACAGGTCCATAAACTCATTCTAACAGTATTTAGCTAAATACCTACAGGAATGCCTAGAGAATATATCAGGAATGCAAATTTAAAGAATTGAATCTAATATAATAGGTTCATCTAGATATTGCAGTTGAAAACAATGGCTTACTCATTCTAATACAGCTATGCGTTCTTTAGTCTCACATTTAAACTGCAGCCTCAAAAGTTAAATGTTGCACACACTCAATTCATAGAATTGCTACTTCATATCTCACCCAGTTAAAAACACGCTAAAATTGTAGAATAAATTTAAATTATTTTAATCTGTGTTGCATGCTTTTATAATAATATGGTGCTTATATCACTTACCCTATCACCAGGGTCACCAGGGGGTCCAGAAGGGCCTTGTAAACCTGGAGGACCCATAAGACCCTACGGAAGAAAAAACATGATCTGAGTCAAATACTTAATCTCATTAGTGTTCAGACAATTTAGTGTTCATCCCTGTAAGATGAAAGAACAGCTCATTTATGTTTCAAAAATATATACTTAGTCTCCCAATAATCACACTATGTAGCTTCCCATGAAAAGAAAATATAGGAAGAACTTAGTGGTAGTACAAGTGTTCCTCTAAGAAGCTGCTCTCAAGATAGAGGAAAAACAGAAAAGGAGAGCATGCCAATGTCACGTCTCTGGAGTAGAAGCTGGGTCCCAAGTCTTCTGAAGAAATGAGACTCAAATAATATGATGATAGAAAACTTAAAGGCATAGAAATCATTTAACTTGAAATAATTTTAATATTTTCTTTTATAAATATTTAAAAGCACAACAAGAGTGGAATAAATTCTACACAAAACATAGGGGATTCCTTACAAGTTCTAATCATTTCAATAAACTGAAAATAACAGCACACTGAATGACATCAACTATATCAGGAAAGGACTACTGAATCTGACAATTTTATAATTACTCCATTTTTCAGTGGAGATAAGGCTGAAAAGGTCGACCTAGCATACTGGATTCTATGACCTGAGATACAGTTATACCTCACTAGAAAAAAGAAGAATGCCTCTTGACATTACTTGGAAACTTTTCAGGTAAAAAGACAAAAGCAGGTCAGAAGAGGCAGAGATATTTAACCAAAGTTTATTCAAAGTTTAACCCAAATACTCAACAATATATTACTTGTAAAGCCCTATCAGAAGGCAATTCAAGTCCACTAGCTCCTCTGAACAAATATTTGCATTTGAAACTCAACATTAAAATATTCTCAAATGTACAAATCCAATAAAATATGAAGCATAGTTTCAATAATTTAAAAAATCCAAACCAAAATAATATTAAATCATTTATATACCGCAGGCCCTGCTGGTCCTGGTGGCCCTTCAACAAGCATACCCTACAACAAAAATGAAAAAAAAATCTTTATCAGAGAAATGTAATCCTCAACATAATCAGAAGCTGTAAGAGAGCACAAATTACATCATTGCAATTTAAAAAGTAAATTCTTCATTTTTATTATGTAAAGCCAGTTACAAATATGTTTGATCAGAAAAGAAAGAAATTAAAACTGATAAGAAAATAAACAGTTCTGACCTCAGAAGATCTAGGAATGAATTGAGGATAATATAAATATTCAGAGAAATAACATTACATAGTTAAGCACTTTAAGAAAAGATATACAAAAGGTATTTGCCCAAATTTTTCCTAGCACTCACAATAATGCCTGGCATGATTCAGGGACTTACAGATATACTCCATATGATTGAATGAAAGTAATTGATACCTAAGCACTTTAATTCAGGAAAAAGGGAGAGAAGCCTAGACAGAGGCACTAAGGACAAAATCTGATATAAGCCAGATAATAAATGAGAATAGTTTAGGATGAGAATTCAGTTTCAAAAATATTTTGACTCAACTACAGGTTTTCACAGCTGAATACTGCACTATCACTTATAAATATGGTGGTACATTTTTATAGAAAGGATAAATTCATTTTAAAAATAGATTTTTAAAACTTTTCATGACTATATGTTTTTTCTCAGATTTTATAATAATGAAGCAAAAAGGCAATAAAGTCCTTAGAGCTGTGTCCTTTAAATCTTTATCTTTTTTTTTTTCTTTTCAATTTTTGTAATCTTAACAGTTTCTAAAAGGATTTTTATGGCTCTCAAGCAAAGAATTAAACACACTATATTTGGTTTTACTACATTAGTTTTCCCAAATTGATGCTTAAGAAGAACAATTTTAAACTATTTTTTACAGTAAAAAGTGTTTCTTACCACACATAACAATAACAATAAAAAATTTTTAAATTAACTTCATAGCTTTATATGAACATAGAAAAACAAAGTATTTCATAAAAATATTCATATTACTTAGTGATACATTTTGGAAAAGAAATAATTATCTAAATATATTAATATATTTCCACTAATGACATCATATAAATAAGAAAGTTCTAGAACTAAAAATTAGAAAATCCAACGTTTTTGTCTGCAGCATCAAACACCGGAAAACAAAAACATTACTTAAACCCATTAGATCTCAGATTCCATTGTGAGAGAACTAGACTAGATAAATTCCAGCCATCTTCAAATTCCAAAATTCTTTCTCTACAATTTTTTGGTTGACATTGCATTTGCCAGGAAAGCCATTACTGATTTATTCATTTATAGCAAATTATAAATATTAGGATATCAGAATTCTTTAAACTAATACATAAACATACAAAAAAATTTAAGGTGATGATGGTTCATAGTACAAATTAAATGTACCCAATGTTAAAATGTGTTTATATCAGTACCTACAGGCTCAACCACAGCGGGCTCTCCTTTTTGTCCTTTTTCTCCGTATGTACCATGGCTGTTTATCTGTTGAGTGAAAAAGCAAAAGCAGTCAAAATGTCTTCAAGAAAGTAAAAACATGTGACTTTTTGTTGTAAAAGGAACGTAATCATTTATATGAATTTAAAACAAATATATTAAATATATGCTTTTTAAAATAAAACCTTGTTAAAGATTTCAGTAGTGCAAATGAACACTCATACTGAACCTGAAAAAGAGTTGAAACAGTTTCTGCTTTAAAATATACTACAAAAAGAGAGACACCTGGGCCCCAATTATTATTGACATTAGAATATATCAAGTTAAATTTAATACCATAGCCTAAAATCAAAAATTAGACTTACAAGTCAGAATACTGCCTTATTTAATCTTATCAATGATAATGAAATTTCAGTACAATTCTGTTCAACAGTATACTTTTAAATGAAGGCTTTAAGAGACTGCCTGAGATTGAATACCTGAAGGTCCCCATTAAGAAACGTCTATCAGGGGCTGGGGATTTAGCTCAGCGGCAGAAGCACCTGCCTTGCAAGCAGGCAGTTGTGAGTTTGATCCCCAGTACCGATAAAAAGAAAAAAAAACAAAACAAACAAACAGACAAAAAAAGAAACATCTATCAAAGTGGCCTAGCAGTGGAAAGTATTTTATAACTGACACAAGAATTCAACCTGCACTTTAAACCTGAAAAGATATCAACATAGTTATGAACGCACTCCAAAAACAGAACACACAATGACACAGTGTAATGCTGACTTACGCTTGTCTCTGTGAAATCAGTTTCTGCTGGTACACCTGGACCAAACTCTTCATTAGGGGGGCTTGTTGGTTTATCTTCATATTCTTTATAGTCATAAAAATCATATTCGCCTAAATCTCCATCTACTGGAAGACCAGAGTCCCTGCCGTCTATTTCTTTATTTTCATATAGAGTATCCTCGGGATTTTTCCTCTGGGGATCATAATCCTCTCCAGTTAGATATTCTTCAGTAAAAACGTCTTCAACTGGAGTTGGCTATTAATGTGAGTTGCAGAGAATAAAGTTTATTTGTTAGTAAAGCAAGGTAAGCATTTGTACTTACAGCTTGGGGACATGAATGAAAAGAGCTTCTATTACTACTAAAGCAAGACTGAAGGCCTGGAAAGATTACCTTTAGTATCACTGAAAGAAATACAATTGTACATTGATATGTACAAAGATGTATTGCTTTCAAGCCACTTTTCCAAATAAATTGCAAATATTCACATGGTGTCAACATGCATATTTGCTTCCATTAAAACACTTTGTTAGTCAATTTGATATTTATTTAAAATTTGAACAATAACATATACATAAATAATTATTTGATTTCAGAGTATTACTAAATGCAATTACCACAAGGATAGTTGATACCTAATTCATAAATATTAATGTCAAAACAAATTGTAGAGAACTCATTATATTAGCTTTCTTTATATAAAAAATAAAACATCAATTATAGTCCTCTAAATTGAAGACAATTAAATAGATATTAGTGTATAATTAAAATTAGAGAATTAATATTAAAGGTAAAATTTACATCAATGGTACTTCTTCAGAGACAAGGATGAAAACATGTAAACTAATAAATTATCAATTGTTACTAAAATAAAATATCTAATCACTATGACATCTTTTAGTCTTAGATAAGGAGTTTATGCTCATTATGGAGGTTGACTACTATTTCCAGAGTGCATTATTAAATATTTATGTCTCTAAGCTAAAAGAGTTGTAGGAATTTGTGTAGAAAAATAAACATGTTGAGTCAAGATATTCTTTGGAAAATCATTGAAACTATGTGAAACAATATTCATTTATACCATAAATGTTCATTATTTTAAATTACATGTCTGTGGGTAAAGTTCTAGTGGTTTTGTCAGATTGGGACGCACTTATTATGAATTTGAAATCACTAATTCACCTAAATGTTCTTTATATTCTCAAAAATACTAAAGATATTATGCCAGACATATAATAAAATTAAAAGTTAAATTGTATACTATTTTTTTATAATCAAAATGCTTGTACAACATGAAACTCTACAAAACTGACTTTAACTTAGCTAAACTTAAATATTTTCATAGAACATAGTGGAATGTTTTAATCATACTTAATGCTATTTTCTTAACAAATTTAAAAATAAATATTTCATAAAATCTACTTAGACTTATTTTGGGAAACATATATTGTCACTAAAATGCATGATTATTGATCAGATGAAATAAAATTCTAATTGTATCAGTAAGTGATACAATTGTGAGTTCAGAGGATTCTTCTCATAGAAAAATCATGTTGTGAATGCCCTTTGTCACAACATGTTGAAAAGCTTGCTAATTTCCAGAAGTAATCAAGAAAATGATAGCAGCCAATTCAGTGTGACTAATTTAGCATTTACATGAAGCAAAGACGCATGCAAAACCTCAACTGACTTTGATTTCAATATGTTTTAATATTTTTAGTAATAGTGAACCAATACTATTCTATAAACTTAATAAAAAACAAAAACTTCAAATAATTCAAAGATTATGTATTCTTCCAGAATAAATTATATCAAGATCTATTACATCTCTTAAAAAAATTGGACTGTGATTTAATGCAGCCTCTGTGTGTTACCTCATTTGATCCAGATACATGCTGAGGAGCTTCTGTCTGATAACTTTCCATTGTTCCATAGTTATAATCTTGAAAATCATCAACAATATTTGCCTAATGAAAAATTCAAAAGAAAAATAATTAGTAAATAAGTAAAAATAATCCCAATTATGTGAAAAAATGATGATTGGATTGGGTTCTAGTATTAGCGAAATGCTATTTTTCTAGTTGGATTAAGAGCATGACTCATCATCAGAGATCCTCCTGCTTATCTAGGATAGATCTTGATTGTTTTTTCTTTGCTACCTTTACCCCTAGTTTGGCTTTTGTTGCTGCTTGGTTACTTTTCTTCTTCTTGGAAGGAAATTTTTCAGTAATGGGGAGTGTAAATTTTTTGGACTTTTCCTTTGAGTTAGTGGTCACTGTCTTCATCTTCTTTTTCAAATTGGATTTCTTTTTCTGTAAAACGTTTTGAAAGATGGAATGGAAAATATAAATAAAGTGAGAGAGGAAATTAAAAAAGCACAAATGACAGGAAAGAGACACAAAAGCAAAATGGACAGCATTCCTTCAGGACAGTTGCTGTCAGATAAAAGATAGTTATTATTTCGTGGACAAACAGATGAGTGAAAGGTTCATAATCAGTTTGAGGAACAGTAAGCATAAGAAACCATAGGATGACCAAGACCAAAACACCACACAAAAAGACACTACTTTGCTTTTACCTCTGTTTGTGCTACTGTCTCCTCTGTTACAGTGGGTCTTTCTGTTACACTTTCAGCCTCTTTATATTCTGTTTCCCCATACTCATAGTCATATTCGATTATATCCTCAGGTGCATACTACATTGCAAAGGAAAAAATGTCAGGCAATTTTGTTAGTGGCAAGTAATACTACTAACAGAATGGGAATCATCTTAACTTTTACTTGCAGTAAATGTTAAGAGTCAAAAGAACTAGTGTTATTTAAGTTATTTTGTATTGCAAAGAAAATTGTGCTGTCTTATTCAGAGTATAATAACATGGGAATGACAAAGTAGGAATTCTAAAAGCAGAACAATGGTTAGGGTTGTGAGAAAACTAAGCGTTTTGAATAATGATTCAAACTTTTATCAAATATTAATTCAGACAGAGCATTTATGTTCTTAGACATAGCTGTTATATGTTCATGCTAATTTTGACTCATGAAAATTACTACACAAATTTCTACTAGAAGAATTTTAAAGTAATTTCAATAGGTATATTTTTATTAAGTAACATGCTTAAAAATAAAAATATGGAATAGTTTTCATAAATATAAAAACACTTTCACATCTGTTGTGAAATGGGAAAGGGAAAAGGAGGAAAACGGAATACAAGAACCATGAAATAAGTCTATATTTACATTCTAAGACTGGCCAAAGTAAAAGTGAGACCTAAACTATCTGGAAATCTTTATTTTCCTGTAGAATCACATAAGAATGAAAACAAAATACTTGTGACGCATTAATTTTTTTGAATTTAAATATCTTTATATAAAATATTTTAGTATTTTATATTACTCTTTTCTCTTGAAAATAGAGTATATCATTTAGGTATATTAAACTACTTAAATTGAATTCACAGTGAAAAACGATACTTTATTTTATTTTTTTGGTATTAAAGAATTTAACTGGGAATAGAATGTTTCTTTACAAAGGGAGCCGAGAGACAGATATACATATAAAATATAAAGAAAGCAATTAATTCTTCTCCAAAGTTAAATAACTTAATGAAAATTTTAATCAAGATATGGTCTAAAACATATTCATCTTTAAAATAAAAATAATACTATAAATAAACAAAAGGTATATACAACATAAAAATAACCAGTATATTCGATAAGCTTAAGTTATACATAGTTTTAGCTTATTGAATATATATACATAAACACTGTATATATACATATGGTAAAACATATGTATGTATATATGTGTATACATGGTACGTATATATATATATATATATATATATATATATGGGTATATATACATATATAAAGTATGGATATATTATATATATATACACACAGCTATAGTATAGTTTGCTATACATGTATGATATACATATATAGTTTACATATATACTTTGCTATATATGTATATATGTATAGAAATCATATATAGTTTGATTTTACCATATATATATACATGTGTATACATGTATATACATATATATATACCATACATGTATATACATCTATCTATATATGGTAAAAGCAAACTATATATGATTTCCACTAAATCTATGTATTTAGTCTATAAATTTATACTTCCTTTGGCATTTCAACTAATCCTTTCTAATCTGTAAGCAAAATTTGAATAATTACAAATCTTTTATATACTTGCAATCAGTTTGATTCTATTGGAAATTGCAACGAAAATATATGCCATCATCACAGTCATACAATTAGACATGTCCAAACTGACTGCTTGCTACTTTGTACATCTGACCTTTAGAGAAATATCCTTATCAAAGAGAACTTTTCTAGATAGCTATGCTAGAAATTATATTACATATAAGAAGGCATTTCCTCAGTGTTCTTTAGTCAAAACTCCAATGTGACAAAATTAATAAACAGATTCACAGTGTTAGCCTTCCAGCAATAGATTCAGATTCAATGAATATAACTTGGAAGCATACAAAAATGTTTTTCTTATAAGAATTTATATAAAATTTTGTGAAATAAAAATGTTTGTAGAATATACTTTAAATATTTTTGCTTTTTTCCAGACTAAAGCAAGATAAAATGCCTATTTCTACAAATTTAATGTAAGCATTATGAATAACATGATAACAAATGACATAATTACCAGTAAACATAAAATGTACATATCAAGTAGCCATTATCAGAGACTGAATACAAGCCAATGAGTAATTTTTGTTGTTATTCATTTTTAATTAAGAAATATTGAATGTCTATAACTATTAATTGCCAGCTGAAGCAAAATATTTTTCAATATATTTTATGGTTTAGGGTTTTAAAATTAAGCTCACTTTTCAGAATCATGTGTGTAAAAGATACAGAAAAAGTATAAGGAGCCAGTTTTAAACATGCTCAATGTAAACAAATTTTTAACAAGTTTGGTATACAGAGATGCATGTGTAACCCTGGTCTACATGAAGCTTTATAATCAACTTTTGTTAATAATTCTCTCTTCACTGTAGAATTGAGTTAGGTTTAAAGGTAAATACAAAATAACGAACTAGTTTTAACTGAGCAGGTGAGTATGTGTAAGGGAGCATTTACTGATGAGATAATTTGAATTTATCTGTAAAGACTTTGGCAGAAATTGTACTATTTGATAAGAAAAAATATTCTTCAGGAAATATCCTAATCTCTTAATTTATTATAGAGTATTAGCCATACTAAAAATCTGTATGTATATGGGAACTAGCATATATGGTAAATATTAAGTCAAAAGACAATCAAAGTAATACAACTTTGGAAGTCAATTTATTTATTTATTTATTATTTTGATTTTTTTTTTAGACAATAGTTTGGATTGGCCTTGAACGTACCACCCTAGGCTGGCCTCAAACTCACAGCAATTCTTCTATCTCAGTCCCCCAAGAGCTGGTATTATTTGTATGTGCCATCATGCTAGGCCAACTAAGTTATTTTTAAACTATTTTACAAAGATATTCTTGCTTTAGTTTCATTTTATTTTTTCATCCTTTATTAGAAAAAGTATCAGTTGCCTTTTATATGATATGTGTAATATATTAAGAAGGAATTATATGCAAATGTGTTAAATTTTATAGAATAGAAAGATGATTTAGCCTGGCAAGAACATTCCAAAACCATGATAATTTTAATTATTATTTATACTGCTACTTAAAAGGCAATATGATCATTTAAATATACCTCAACTCTAAAAAGTTATTACTACATTCAGATCTGTCCTTATTACATGTCTCTCACTCTGTGATGATGATGCACACAGCCAACTGAAATTTAAGAATGAATCAGAATTTGTGCTTTAGGGATACTAACTAAACAAAATTACCAGTTAGAAAAACCATACTACAGTTTTTACAAAATCTATGGTCAGGCTAATTCAAATCACAATAATAAATAGGCAGCAACATTTATTAATACGAAAGTAAGCAACATTAAAAATACTTTGTGCATGATTAACCCTCTGTATTACGCTACATGTTCTTAATTCATTCAAGTAACATGGTATTGTAATTTTGTTACATTGACTATTGGAAGATCAGTTATGAAAATGCATATTTAAAATATAATGCATATAGTTCAAAATTAGGATTGTTTGTTAATTTGACTATTATTTTAATATAAGTATGAAATGTTTATCTTGTTATTGACGTATCAGTCTAAATATGGTTAGTGAAAATAGTAAAAGTTGATTTTTCAAATAATTAATAAAAAGTCCTAAGAGTGACACAATAAGTATAGAAACTAGTAACAAATGTTATTACTGTTACTCAATCAATTTTTCTTGTATTTTCTATTATAGTAAAGTGTCATTTTTCACATAAAATGCTTCTTTTAAAGCAAGTTTGACATCTCAACAGTATGTTAAATTACATTTCAACAAGTAAAATTTTAAAAAAGTAAGCTCACTGGTAAATGAATATAAGAGGAATAAAAATTTGTCTAATTTAAAGGAATTCAGCTTTCCCAATAAAATAACAAAATGCAAAACAAAACACTTAAAAGTGATATATTAAAAACGTAAACCTTTCTTCTTCCAAAAGTCAAAACATATCTGTCAATATAAAAGGTTAAACCTAATTGTTCTAATATTAAGATGCCATTTATTTAAAAATACTAATTATTTATATGCTAAGTAAAACATTATATATTACATATTTTATATATTGCATAGATTATAAAATATTACTCATTATTTAATCAAATATTAAAGCAAATATCAAAACACTATAAACGTTCATATTAAGTACTCTCAAGTAACCTGTCAAATATAAAAGTCTCACTCAAAAAATATTCTGCCTATCACCTTGGAATTCACAGAAAGCATATTTAATGAATTGTGAGGAAATAAAATGAATGAGGTGCTTAAGAATTATGAAACAGATAAACAAAATAACCATATTTTCCATATTTGCCTTCCTGTTGGCTTCTTAAGACTTTATCCTGTTTTAAGAAGGCTTTATCCCTGTTTTAAGAAAAAAACACTAATATTAAGTCATGGAAAAGTTTAGTTCAACAGAATTCATTATCATACCTTAAAATATACTGTCAAAAATGTTATTTCAATCATTTAAAATGGAACATCACATCTGAATTCACATGAGGAACAAAGATAAATCAAAAGTAAAATTTGAAAGCATTCCAAAGAGTTAATATTAGGAAGTACCTACGACTGTGAATAAAAAGGAAGAAAACACTATTTGAGTTAGGGCAGTTTTCTTGTTCCCCCACCTGAAATGTAAAACTCAGTCTTGAGGAAAAAAAAATAAAAATAAAACCTACATATATAGTCATGCTTCCAATTAAAGCACAAAGCCCTTTCTGTTTGTCTTTTTTAAACTTCTATATCAGAAATAGGAAAAATAAATACTGTAATGATTCAACATAACCTGAAATCATAGAACATTTCCAATATCATCTGTTTCTCATCTGCCTCCTCATCTGGAGAATAGCAAGTACTTCAGAAACTTTATATTGAGGTTGTGTTAATTATTTCCATAGGAAGGGCAGAAACATAGCTGCTGGAAATATCCTCTCTTCTAAAATTCTCCAGTACACAAAACCCAAGAGTGATATCTTTATTTGTAAGACAACTAATCAACAAAGTACTTAAAAAGAAAAAAGTTACCAACTATTTTTGGATCACCTCTTCTTGGAAACATTTAAAGGCTATTAAATGAAAAGTATAGTTTAATTAAAAGTAAACAAACAAATATAAGACCCCAAACTGCAGGCTGTGTGCACATCAGTGAAGGGAGAGGACCTGCCCTGATCTCACTCCCCTCACCTCATCTATCTGCGGTTCCTGAGCCTGAGCAGCCGTGGATGCAGAAGAGTCACAGTCTGGACTATAATGCTCACAGTAGTCATATGCTGCCTTAGGGTCCGCGGAGATCAAAAATTGCTGGATGTCCCCCTGCAAAAACGTGGACAGGGATGTAGTCAGCATTTTCAGTTATGCAAACTTACAAGATTTGTTCAAGATGAACTGTAATTTATTTTTAAATATCTAAAGTCACATACACATGTTTCAATGTAAGGAACGATCTCATAAAATTGAAATTTACACTTATTTTACAAATTGGCTATAACGATCAGGATGCCTTTATTATTTTTCTGGTGTTAAATGTTTATAGTATGCTTATCCACTTATTAAAATTCAATTTTATTACCTTCAGTTAACAATGCACATTAAAAGATAAATGATGTAAGTAAAAGTAAATGTAATTATAAAGGACTAAAATGTTCAATTAACTTACAATGAGTTGTTATTGCTGGGTAAATTTATGATAAATTTAAGTGAAAATATGTATTCAACAATCCATTTGGGTTAGTATAATCCATTTCAAAAGCAGTTCTTAAATGAATGAGGAACACAGACATAAGAAAAATCTAAACTATAAATAGAAATGCATGTATTTGCCACATTTTAGCTAAAAATAATGTCTAGACATACATTAAAAGTCATTAGACATCTGTATAATTTTCACGAGATGACTTTAGAACTATTTAACAGCAGAACTGTTTGCGGAATTCCATTTCCTGGAGATTATGGATACCACAAGAAAAAAAGTCCAAATATTTTGGACTTGAAACTATATATCTGGCTACTTGCACACAGGCATAATTTAATATGAAACTAGTTTGAAATAAATGTGGATCATAACCATATTGATTTCAGAATTACACCCAATTCAGAAAACATCTAGGCTGATAATCACTTAACTTAGACATTCAAATCCCTGTAAGGTTTAGTACATGGGTTTAATTTATAGAACTCTTGCTTTCATTTCAAATAATTTTACAATCATTCCACCTTGCCCAATATCTTCTCAACTGATATTATTTATGGCCCTATCAAAATACAAACACTAAATCAAAAGGAAGGAAATTATACCACATTTATACCACTATCTTAATTTATTCATCAACAAACTTTCATTGAAAAAGTGTTGTACACAAAATAATGAACACAGTATTATGGATGCAGAAACAAATTTAATGCAATCCTTGTGCAAAATACTAATTTCTCCTATAAGAGGGTTGTTGGATCATATGATAATTTTATTTGAGTCTTGTGAGGAAACTTCATGATGTTTTCCTTAATGGTTTTACTAATTTACTATCCCAACAAACTTAATTGTTCCTCTTCTTCTATACTTCTGCCAACATTTGCTATTTTCTGTTTCTTTTAAATAGTCATTCTAACTGGAGGTAATGACATCTCATGTTTTTGATTTGCATTACTCTCATAATCAGCAAAATAACATTGTTTTAAACTATCTTTACTCATGTGTATCTCTTTTTAATGAAATTATATACACATATTTACTCATTTTGTAATCTAATATCCTATATTCTGGATATTAGTTGCTTCTCAGTTTCACAATATTTTATTCATTCTCTGGTTTTTCTCTTCAATTTTAACTCTTGAATGTTAAGTTTGATACAGTTTTTACTTCTTCTGCATTTATTTCTGTAGGCATTTAGAGGTGGAGGTCTAGTTTCAGCTTTCTTACTGTGGAAATCCAGTTTTCCTTGCATAAATTATTGAAAAGACTATCTTTTCCTGAGTGTATGTTCTTGATACACTGTTGAATATCAGATGGCTTCAAATGTTAGGCTTTACACCATTAGTATCTGTATTTTTTATATCTGTACCATGTTGTTTTGGTTACTACTGCTTTATAGTATATTTTGAAATTATATAGTGCTATGTACTGTTCTTTTTGCTCAAATTAAATTTAGTATGCTACTCAACTGGATTTTGCCCACAGTACTACCTAATAAGAATCAGCTGTTAGTCTTAAGAAACTTTTGCACGGAATCAATAATTTCACTTGTACTCTTCTGTTTTTGACAGGTTGATTGTGATATTTCTACATTATATTTCTAAAAGTTTAATCTATTTGGAGTTTGTCAATATTCTTGGATTTGAAGATTAACATGTGTCATCAAATTTGGGGAATTATCTGCTCCTAGTTTTGAATATACTTTGTAATGCTTAGCACAGACCTCTGGGCTATGTCAACCTTTTGTCATTTTTATTTAATTTTCTCATACTGCTTTTTTTTACATTGATCTACTCTGAAAGTTATCAATTCTCCTGTCAGTTCAAATATTCTTTTGAGCATCTCTATTCAGTTTTTCATTTCAGCTATTTTGCTTTTCTACTCCAGAACTTATGTTTGGTTATTTCAAAAAATAATTTCTGTCTTTATTGCTATTTTTGATAAAATATTATTTTACATCAATTTAGTTTTTAGTCATGGCTTCCTTAGTTTTTCATATATTCATATTATTATTTCAATGTCTTTATTAAGAAAGTTCAATATTTATTCTTAAAGGATACTGCCTGTTTGTTTTTCTTCGAATAGTACATAATTTTCTGGGTTTTGCATATCTCATAATTTTGAAAATTTTTGTTAGGGTTCTCAGACACTTAAGATTTTAAATGACACTTCTGGAAATCATGTTTTATGCTCTTCTGTCACTGAGGTTACTATAGTTAACATTTTTAACTACAGCTTGTTTGTAAATCTGTCTTTTCTGATGCACACAGCCACGGGAGTCTCTGCTTGGCTGTTAGTGGTCAGCATATAACTGGCCAGCGATTTTCTTCAATCCTGTACGTATGCCTGTATGTATATGTGTATGTATCCTGTACCTAACTTAAGAGGCTTTTTTTCTGTTTCGGGAGCACAGGTTCCATATTCTGACATTTTACCACTCTGCCTTAGGTCTCCCTTCAAGGTAAGCATTATGTAAAGTCCTAGATCCTTCCCTTAGAGTCTTTAGATTTTTCCTGGGCTTGGACACAGAGCCTCTAATTGTCTAGAAGAATGAGGAGCTTCTTAAAACCACATATAAACATCTTATTTCCATATTTTTGGTCTTTTTAGTGTCTTGTGCTCCAAATTTTAACACAAATTAACATGAGCAACTACCTGTTTTATTTTCATCTAGAATGCGTCATTTTCACCAAAAATTCTAAAGTAAAATTCTAAAGTAAAAATATTACATTCACTCTCCTCCTCCAAACATAAAATACTATCCTGTCCATACCTTTGATGAATTTTGTTATATTTAGAATTTTTCCACTGCTTGCACAGTTTGTTGTTCACCTAACTTTATCTAATTATTAAATTACTCGTTAACTCAAAAAGTTCTTTAACAGTGCATATGGCGTGGAAATGTGTTTAGGAAATGCTGAGATATAGCAATACGTACTTTAATTCCCAGTAACAAATAGAATAAAGGAAACCCAATAAATATCTATCCAGAAAACTACACAGAATACAGTTATTAATATTTTAGAATTGAAACTATTTATATTCCCATGTCATACAGGTATATAAACAACTGATCAAATAAGTTTGTTTCTGAGATTTTTTCAACATTTTAACTCGTAGCCAAGTAATACTACTAATGCCAGGTTCAAAATACAGCAGCTCAACTTCTTAAAATGGACTAGTAACATTTATTAAACACCTATTGGTCAATTTAGAACCTGAGTAGTCACACTTGAGTTGCTACAATCAAAAATAACAAAAGGAAATTTTCTTACACAGCTGTTTATTCAGCTGTTGAAAGAATAATGGAGCATTATGTAGTAAACTGAGTAAATACTGAGAAATTGCCTCACTGGCTTTCTCCAGAAACTCTATTTTTGGAGCCAGGGATTCAGTTCAATGGCATAAGCACCCGCCTTGCATGCACGAGGTCGTGAGTTTGATTGCCAGTACCAAAACACCAAAAAAATGAAAATGGAAAAAAGAAAAAAGAGGGTGCTGGGGATGTAGCTCAGTGCAGAGTCATCCCTGGTTCAGTCCCCAATACCAGAAAAAGAGAGACAGACAGAGAGGGAGGGAGAGAGACAGAGACAGAGACAGAAAGAGACAGACAGAGAAACAGAGACAGAGAGAGAGACCGTTATATTCTAAATTTTCTCTCAGACTTGCCATTATCTACTTATGACTGTGGCTTCTTGACCTAACAAATTAATGCACTGAATATTAATCCCACATCTGAATTAGCTCTGTGATTATATCTAATTTTCCTCTGCTACTCTTGTTGATACAAGATATATATTAATCATATATAAGGTCTTCTTCAGGATTAAAAAAATTACATAATTATATTGGAATTACAATGGTCAAGTAAAGCTATTGCTGAAATAAAAAGTTGCCTCTCTTACATATACATTGTACTTTTTCAGTAATGTATTTTTAGAAGGATATTATTTTCTAACTACTTTTCATTTAATGGTCTTTGACTTCACTAACTGGAATGCTACCTAGTTTTCCACTATAAATGCTTATTTCAGATGTTTAATAGCTATAAAATATAGCAGTGGAAACAAGCTATAAATTCAGTTAAAAAGTTCTATTTTTCCCAGAAATAATTTCATAGTGTTTTATGTTAATCATATACCATGTTATGAGATGGTGTAAATCAGTAAGGGTATCATGGTAGGTTGAAAGAGTTGTAAATATTTAGATTTTATAGTATTACAAAAAATCCACAGCTAGGCACTGATGTTACCAAAACAACTTGGCATCCATGGCTTACAAGGCATGGAAAGGATAATTGTCATTCTCTAATGATCTGCAGCAGCAAGACTAAGATTGAGTTAATGAAATTGCCTTGTGATCTACAGTGGTGTCAACCAGGTCTATAATACTTTCCTATAAACTATATGGATCTACAGAGGGAAAACAAAGTGAATGTTAGAAAACTGAGTAGAAGCTAATTAAAGAGATGGAGTTTATTCAATCCACATACATTGCAAAAGACCCTTCTCAAGTTTTCTGTCAGTGCTGATTATATAAATTGCAACATATCCATTTTTTCAGAACCAAATGACAACGCACATATGTTAACAGTTTTTATGTATAGGTCTAGCTATTTCCATTG